TAGTAAAGTGGCATGCTAGAAAAGTAATATGCAGAAGTCCGCAGCCTTTCAACATATTCCATATAGGAATATGCAAACAATGGAATAAAAGAGATTAAAAAACAATCTCATTCACAGTGGTGCCTCACAAAATCAAGTACCTTGGAATCAGCTTAACTAAAGAGGTGAAAGACCTATACAAAGAAAATTATAACACTACTTCAAGAAATAAGATAAGAGGAAATGGAGACCCATCCCCTGCTCAAAGATGGGAAGGAATAATATTATCAAAATAGCAATACTCCCCCAAAGCATTGTACAGATGCATTGTACAGTCCCCGTAAGAAAACTGTCATTTTTTAAAAGAAATAAACACTCCTGAAATTTGTAGGACAATAATTTGTATGCCCTCCCCCCTCCATAGCTAAAGCACTGTGTGTGGGGGGGGTGGGGGGGACGTGGGGAGGGGTGGGAGACAACACCCCAATTTCAAACTGTACTATAAGCAGTAGTAATTAATCATCATGGTATTGGAATAAAGACAAAACCTCAGATTAATGGAACAGACTTGAATATCCTGAGACAGACCCTCATGAATATGATCAGTTAATCTTCAATAAAGGGGCAAAAAATATGAAGTGCAGCAAGGAAAGCCTCTTCAACAAGCAGGGCTGGAAAAACTGGGCAGCTACATGCAAAATAAACCCTGACCTCTTTCTGATGCTATGCACAAAAATCAAATCAAAATGGATGCAAGACCTTGGTCTCAGAGCTGAATCCTAAGATACTTAGAGAAAAACCGTAGGCAGAACTCTCCGAAACATTGAAACTAAAGGTACCTTCAGGGATGAAAGAGCACCGACGAAGCAAGTGGGAGCCTAGATAAACAAACGGGACTACCTTAAATTAAGAAGCTTCTGCACCTCAAAGGTCATGATGACCAGAATACAAAGACATCCCACGAAATGGGAAAAATCATTCACCCAACACTCATCTGATAAAGGTTAATATTCAAGATACATAAGAAAGTGGTAGAACTTTACCAAAAAAAATCAAAAAATGGGGAGAAGAGATGAACAGAAACTTCCTCAAAGAAATACAAATGGCCAAAAGGCACATGAAAAAGTGCTCTACATCACTAGTATCAGGGAGATGCAAATCACAACAGTGAGCTATCACCTTACGGAGACTGGCACACAACAAAAAGAGCTAGTGCTGGCGTGGATGAGGAAAGTTCTGATGGGAGTGCCAACTGGTCCAGTCTTTCTGGAAAACAACACGGTTATTCCTCAAAACATTTGTGAGCTTCCGTACGACTCAGCAATACTGCTCCTGGGAATATATCCTAGTGGCCCAAAAATACAATACAGAAAAGCTGTCTGCATTCTTATAGTCATTGCAGCACTATTCACGGTAGCCAGAATTGGGAAACAATCCAAGTGTATGAGAATACATGGGTGGATTTAAGAAACTATGGCACATCTACACAATGGAACACTAGGCAGCTGTTAGGAGAAACGAGGTCATGAAATTTGCTTATACATAGATGGACATGGAGAGTATCAAGCTGACTAAAATCAGTCAGAGAGAAACAGATATAGAATAACTGTACCCATTTGCAGGAAAAAAAAAAAGACCCAAAAAAACAAAACAAAACAAAAAACCAGTATGCGAATAATCCCCATTGATAGTAAGAAACAAAGGTCAGGAGAACTGGTCCATAGTAGGAAGTTTGTCACCAAGGGAGAAAGGGAGTGCCCTTAGGACAGAGAAGGGATCATTAGGACAATGATATCAAAGATACTCATCAGAAATGATCACTCAGGACAAAAACTGAATGCTGAAAGTGACATGCACGATAGCATTCCAAATCACAGTGCCAAAAGGGAAAATGAAAGTGGGGGAAAGAGGAAGAGGAAGAGAAAGAATAATAAGTGTCAGCGATAAAGGCAGTCTTTGGGGATAGGGCAAGGGTAGAGTGGGCAGGAAGGAGACTGGGAACACTGGTGGTGAGAAATGTACACTGGTGAAGGGATAGGTTGCTGGAACATTGTATGACTCAAATTTAATCATGAACAACTTTGTAACTATATATCTCACCTTGATTCAATTTTAAAAAGTGACTTTGAAAAGGGTAGGCTAGGAAGTGGTTGGGGGTAGGGTGTGAGTGGGAGGGAACCTGCGTGTGTGTGTGTGTGTGTGTGTGTGTGTGTGTGTGTGTGTGCGCGCAGGGAAGATGACACAGGTGGTAGGATAGGTGCTGGAATACAGTATGTCTAAAACTCAACTAAGCGGAGCGATAGCACAGCAGTAGGGCATTTGCCTTGCACGCAGCCAACATGGCCGACCCGAGTTCGATTCCTCCGCCCCTCTCAGAGAGCCCGGCAAGCTACCGAGAGTATCTCGCCCACACGGCAGAGGGCAGAGCCTGGCAAGCTCCCCGTGACGTATTCGATATGCCAAACACAGTAACAACAAAGTCTCCAATGGAGACGTTACTGGGCCCGCTCGAGCAAAACTCAACTACCGAAAACTTTGTAAACCATGGCGCTTTAATAGAATTTCTTTTAAAAAGGAATGCAGTAGACAGAATAAAACATGGACGGACAATGAAACAATAACTATAAAAGGTAACATTACCCTGACCCTGAAAGAGCCTCCAATTGTTGGGAAAGACGAGTAAGGAGAGGCTGCATTCGACCAACACGCAGAAGTTACGTGAAATGGTGTGGCTGACTATAAGACTGAGAGGGACTTTGGGGTCCATCTGGCCTAATAATCATGCTGCCACATTTCCTCTCCTCTTTTCTATACATCCAAACATCACTTGTCCTACAAGGATAATTACAGGCTCAAAACAATTGCTAGCTTCGAGCTAGAGATATGAACAATTCAGACTCCCAGCAATGTCCCCACACTACGCTCCTACTGCTTCCGAGTGCTCTATTTAGAATGGCAGCTAAGTTTCCTCTAATTCTTTCATGGATATTACACTTATTAGCCAAGTTACATTTTTATTGGTAAACTCAAAATCACCGTGTTCCTTAAATTCGATGTTCTTTGCCGTAGTGGGACCTAATAATTGCTTAGGATTATTCTGCACAGATGATTTCAACACGAAAAATTTTCCCCTTGATCACTATATTCGGTTCTTCCACCTCTTCTCCTTTTTCCTATCGCATTAACTCTGCTACGAGGATCTCCTAATTGCTTTGACAACTTCATCTTTCCCAGCGCATCCCAAGTATTCACCATCAGCAAGCATAGACTGAGGGCTAACTCTGTGCCAGACACGTGAGATACAAAAGTGACACACACAAAGAAACTGAACAGAAGGTGGTCACAGAGGCTAGAGTGATAGTACAAAGGGTAGGATGCTTGTCTTGCATGCGGTCCACCGGAGTTCCACCCCCGGCACCACATATCGTCCTCAAACCCCGCCAGCAGTAATTGCTGAGTGCTCAGGAGTGACCCCTGAGCACTGCTGAGTGTAGCTCCTTCCCCCGCCCCCCCAAAAAGAAGTAACAGTTAACAAAGAAAAATACATCAAGAAGTCATTATAATATAAAGTGAAGTGATTGGGGTTGTGTTATAGTTACAAACAAATTAAGAAGGGGGGTGGGGGGGGGGGAAGAACAGAATTTCCTGAAAGAGTCAGGGGCAGCTGCCTAGAAAGATTAATGTAATGAAATAATGAAATTAAGAGGATCTGGAAGCAATGGAAGAAATGTGGCTGGAGATAAGAACTAAGAGTCTAAAATGAAAAGTAAAATAGGATAATGTCACATGGCTCAGCTGGAGTAGAGCCATCCAAGCCACATGGAAGTGGAGAATTATGAATTGTTCTAGGAAGAAAGCAACAGGATCGGATCTGTGCTTGGCACAGCTCTGCAAAGGTGAGCCTTGGGAACTGGAGAGAGAGGACAAGTGGGTAAGGTGCTTGCCTTGCAGGCAGCCAACTCAGGTTCTCTCTGGGTCCCCGGAGCCCCGCCAGGAGTAATCCCTAAGTAGAGCCAGGAGAAAGTAGAGGCACAAAAAAGGGGAAAAAAGGTCTGAAGATAAACAGAAATAATAGAAACAGAGAAATTAAAGAAGCAGAAAGAATAATCGATAAGAAACATTATGGGGCTGGAGTGATAGTATAGCGGCTAGGGCTTTTGCCTTGCACACGGCCGACCCAGGCTCAATACCCAGCATCCCATATGGTTCACTGAGCACAGCCAGGAGCAATTCTTGACTGCAGAGCCAGGAGAAACCCTTGTGCATCGCCAGGTGTGACCCGAAAAACAAACAAAAAAATAAAAGAAACATTATTAGGCCATTTTGCCTAAAAGTCCCGACAAGAAGAGTAACAGGGAGAGCAATTCCAGATATACTGAGAAATAAACAAATTTTATATTAGATGGAATATTAAAAGGAGCCTTGAGGGACTCAAGTTGCAGAGCTTGGAGAATGCTATAACCTAAGACAGAATATTGAGAGCGATCCAAAGGGACAAAAGATCTGAGGAGACAGTGAGTGCTTACCTTGGTTTACGGTGCCCTTGAGGGATACTCTAGCCACAGAACCTCACTACAGCCCAGTTTATGTAATCCTGAAGCTAAGAAGAGACATTCAGATTTCATATGCAATTTAAAAATTATTCAGTAGTTACAACCAAGGGAAGGCTGCCCGGAAAGAAATTAGAGGAATGAAAAGAGAGCAATACAGAAACTCAGAGGCTTGGGGCTAGAGCAACAGCACAGCGGGCAGGTCATTTGCCTTGCACGTGGCCGACCTGGGTTCGATTCCCAGCATCCCATAGGGTCCCCTGAGCACCGCCAGGAGTAATTCCTGAGTGCATGAGCCAGGAGTAACCCCTGTGCAATGCCGGGTGTGACCCCCAAAGCCATAATCTCAGAGGCTGACAGTCCAGTGGGGAAAAGAAAGAGCGAGAAGACCTAGAAGCAAAGCAGCAGAGAAGTGGGCGGGTGGGAGAAGGACACTGATGCAGAGAAACCCTCTGACTGGTAAGGCCTTACCTCCGATTCTTCCTGTAGACGCAGACAGTTATCCAGAAAAAGAAGTGATCGGTCAACGGACTTTCGGGCTCTTTTTAAGGACGGTGCCTCCATGCAAGATGCTTCTCCATCCGAGAGGCACTGGAACCAATCAGGCTGAAGGGACTCCTGAATGGCCATGAATTTGGATGCAGTCATTTCCACTCGGCCGCCAACACCCCACACCGACACAGACTGCCAGGGAGCAAAGAGATGAGAAATCATTAGGAGTAAAATGCAAACGAAAAGGAAGCAAAATGTTAAAGCAATACTAAACTTAGCACTTGTTTACGTCTGGAGAGATGCTGGCGATGCAATGATCCTAGACACGGTAGGGACAGTCTTCTTGGGACTCTCTCTAGGAAATTTAGAGCTAACAAAGATCCTTCCGTGGTCACCTAGGCCGGCTCCTAAAATTCTTGGCTGTACTTCTCTAGTCCAGTCTTCTACTTCCCCTGACCCCACCAGTTCCCAGCCCTGCTCTTCAATACATCACAGCCTCGGATTCTTTGATCACATCCTTCCTTTCACATAAAAAGCCTTTTAACCCTTGTCTTTGCTTATCCTTCAAGACACAGTGGCCATCTTCAAATGATCCTGGGCATGATCAATGGCTCAATCATCTGACCTTCCAGGGCAATTTATACTTTCCCCTTTCTTGACAGCTTTATTCCATTTAGTCCATTCTCTATTTGGACTAGGTTCACAGCAAGATTCATGTCCCCAAGTAAAGTTCAGGGTCTCACGCATTATTAATGTTTTAATTGACAGAAAGGCTATATATCTTCTTCTGCCCCAGAGGCCACTATCTAAATAAATTTACTCTCCCTCAGAAATGAGGTAGCTAACTGAGGTCGAAATATTTTGACTTCTGGGGCAGGAAAGATAATACCGTGGGCGGGCCCTGATTCCTGAGCACAGAGTCAGAAATAAGCCCCGAGCATTGCTAGGTGTCCAGCCCCCACCCCGTCTAAGAAACACAGAAACAACCCCCAAATTTGTCGACGAAAATAACAGCTGGTGCTGGAAAAGTATATGCATTTGTAAGACAGCATTATAGAGCTAAGATTCGCCAGAGGCAATGCGTCACTGTTACATTTAAAGGTGGACAGCTCTCAAGGAAGTTCTTCTGATGATGTTCTTTACTGGTTAAAATCTACGGCTATGAAACCAACTTTTTCCAATTCTGTTCTGAAAGCCTGCCGTATTCTAGCGAGGTTCTACTATATATAGTTCGACATGTGATAACACTCATCAGCAACTTTGCCCACTCTTCCTGAGGTTGTTAAAACTGCAGATAACGCATGGTTATCAAAAGACTTGTTTTCCACTCTCATAGCAATTTCTTTTTTGGGAACTACACTTGACCCTTCTTCACCCCCAATTCTTTTGCGGCAATGAGAAGGCTGTGATGGATTTCTTACTTTCACGCCATACCCCGGCAGTGCTACTTTACCGCCTATGAATCAACCCACCCTCCTATAGAAAGAGATAAAGGGGGCGAGAAACAGGCCGTCATCCCGGCGGTGGTGTCCAGCACTTGACAGCAGGTGATGAGCGCTGCCTGCTGGGGACAGAGCTGCAGTGTCGGAGGCCCTTCTGGGGACGCACCTTGTTTGTTACATAACCAGAGGGGCAGGGGCTAACCGGATCGTGCAGGGAGCAGTAGAACAGCGAATCTGGCATGCCTGTATGAATATAAAAAAGAACCCTTGAAAGCGCTTCCATCAATGATTACACTGTGTTATAACAGAGAGCAGCTGCATAATTTGTACTCCTGGGTAAATACCTGACCTTATGAGTTACAAGAGGCCTGTGAAAAAAAGATTACTTTGAGACCCATTAATTTAAAAGAAGAATTTAATGCAAAGGCTCATGTCTAATGACGTAATGAGCTATTACAAAGGAGTTACAAGTACGAGATACAATGAATGTGTTTAATGGCATGTTGACTTGCTTTGAAAAATTTAGTGTCAAGTACACTCATTTTAGAGAGACTAGCTGCTAGAAAGATGAAATCATAGGGCCAAAGGTGATCTCATTAATAACAGAGCCATATAATATAATAGGTGCCGAGTGCAGAGTTATAGGGAAGTTGTAGGACATCGCAAATTCATCTTATTTTCAGTAACCTTCACAGATGCAAGATGAATCTCTTGGATTTGTCAGCCCCGTGGGGCTGGAGAGATGGCTCAGCAGGCTACTCCCTGCTTTGCATGGAGGAGACCCAGGTTCGATCCCCCACACTACATGGCCCCGAGCCACACCGGGAGACCCCTGAGCACAGAGCTGAGAGTATGCCCTGAGAAGAGCCAGAAGTGGCCTAAGAATGAAGCCAAAACAAAGAAGATAAATCCAAGAGCGATTTAGTTAACTACGTGTTTAAATTTCATACGCTACCCTGCATTTTTCAGAAGAAAAAAGGGAACAGATTACATTACAAAAAATACCAAAAAAAAAAAAATGTTTTGTTTCTTTTTGGGTCACACCCGGCGACGCACAGGGGTTACTCCTAGCTTTGCACTCAGGAATTACTCAGGGGACCATATGGGATGCTGGGAATCAAACCCACGTATTTGCAGCAATGAGAAGGCAAATGCCCTACCCGTTGTACTATCGCTCCAGCCACGTGCAAGGCAAACGCCCTATCTGTTGTACTATTGCTCCAGCCCCACCAAAGAAAATTTTTAAAGAAAATTTCGATCTTACTTCCACAATTACAATTTTATAATTACCTCTGGAAGCTTATATTAGCTAGTTTTATTTATATGTTATTACATTGCTGCATATATCAAAAGTGATTAAAATTCAAGTAAAATAAAGGAAAATGATATTGTAAAATGCCCTGACTGAATCAAAGGGCTGTGTGACAACCAACAAGATAATATGGAGTTTCCTTCAGACTCAGAAGACTTAAAAAAAAAAAAGACTAATGGAAATGAGATTTTCATTCATTTTAGTGACTCCTAGATATTAGAGAAAAGCTAGAAGAAATTGGTCGGTGGCAGAATTGTTTCTCTAGATGTCACTGTTAAACATTACCTATCGATAAATGTACACACACACACACCTATATAGAAAATCAATTTCTGGAACAAAAAGATACTAACATATTAGACATAGCTTTCCATTAACTCCTTCCTCTACCGTCCACTTCAGTCTCAAATATGAGGAGGCTGTTAGGATCTTCGGTTACGCCCTTTGTAAACTTCCCTAGTAGTCTCTGCTCTGTGCTGGGCAATCTGCCCATACCTGTCTATCATATGACTGTGCCTACCCCCTGACAGAGCCAGCTCCAACTTTTTTTTGATGCAGATGAGTGTGCCCTTAACTACTTTCACAAGAACCCTTTCTTTAGTGGCTGGAAGCACAGTGTAGCAGGTAAGCCTGCTTCACACACAGCTACCCTGAGTTTGATCCCTGGCATCCCATACGGTTGAGTTTCCCTCCCTGCCCCGAGCAGAGCCCCGGCAGCTAAAGACCTTCAGAACCAGCCACAGCCATGCTGAGACCACTCTCCACACATCCGGACAAGCCTCATGCATGAAGGAACTGGCAGAGGAACCCAGGCATGCAGGTCCCGGGGCTGAGATCTCCAAGCCTGCTCGGATCGGGACTGGGCCTTCTCTACCCAGATCCCCCATCTTCCAGTAGGTACCGTTACACCCACCAGCTGCTGCTGGCGCCACGTGGTCCCATCAACCGCCAACACCTAGAGACTATAAAACCCAGCTCCCAGAAATCTTATTATCTAGTTTTTACTTTAGAGAACCCGGCAGGCTACCGAAAGTATCCTGCTTGCATGGCAGAGTCTGGCAAACTTCCTGTGTCGTACTCAATATGCCAAATGCCAGTAACAATGATGGGTCTCATTCCCCTAGCCCTGGAAGAGCACTGAATATGGCTCTTTAAAATCTCAGGGCTAGGAAGGAGACGTTACTGGTGTCTGCTCGAGGCAATCGACGAACAACAGGATGATCGTGATCGTGATCCCATATGGTTCCTGCAGCACGGCCAGGAAGAAGCTCCAGGCACAATCAAGTGTGGCCCTCAAATTTTTCTTCTGCCCCCTCCCCTTTCCCATGCACTGTACGACAATTTATATAGTCTTCCCCGCGCTGTCATGATACATATACATGACCCTAATCCTATCAAAGCTGTCACCACACGACAGAATTATCTATTCCTCTTATTCCCAACTAGGCTCTGATTCCAGAGGCTCTGATTCCAGGCAATTGTTTCCCATTCTTCCTCTTCTTCTTCATCATTATTATCGTCTTCTTTTGGTTATTGGTTTTGGCACACACCGGCAGCTTTCCTGGTGGTGCTCGGGGAAACGTCAGGTACAGGGCATTGAACTTGGATCAGGTACAAGTCAAGCACTTTATCCACTGTACTACCTCTCCAGCCCCTACTCATCTTCTGACCCCCAATGCCTGGTTCTTAGATGTTCAAGAAATATTTATTGAATGAGTTCATTTTTCTTTAATCAAAGAATCAATAGCATCTCACAAACTCCAAATTTAATCAATTACGTGACACACAAATAAGTAGTTTAACTTTTACCTATAAACTTTCCAACTCCTTCCTTATACTCTGCCAAGACTTCATGATGTTCTGCGCTGCAAGCAAAACAGAAAATATGTAACATAATTTACAGCTACTACACCGAAGCTCTTTTTCCCCTTTCCTATACCAGCTACGTGAACACAAGACACATCACTATTAAAATTCCCAATCTACTAGGCTGGGTTCATTAGCTTAAATAAACGTTTTCAATTTGTAGAAGGTACCATGAGAAGAAAAACTGACAAAGATCAAGGACAGCAGCATGGATCTTTTCCCCACTTCTTGATCACACTGCAGGTTCTTCAATTAAGAATAGTTACTATGTATACCACACAAAATAATCCAGCTCCATTAGTTCTGTTTTCACAAAATGGTATATTAACTAGTTACAACTAGAACTAGTACATGCACAAAGGAAAGAGACATTCTGAAGCTGATGCATGAGATTTAGACAATGGACTCCAAGCTCAGCTATCAGAGTCTAGCTGTGGCTCATTGTACAATCTAATGGGGGGTGGGAGGCGGTTACCAAGTATCTGGCAATAGTAAAAGATTTCTGAATGCATAGCAACCCAAAGTGAATTCGAAATCAAACACATAATAGAATCCAAGGTGTTTCTACCAGTGCTCACCCACGACTCATTTCTCAGGTCAAAGGGCTCGTGAGTGGGTCAAGTTTACGAAGCCGTATTATCACAGAACAACCCCTGCCCTGTTGTCAGCCCCCCACAACCGTGGCGATTAGGGCCCTATGGAATCATACTTTCAAGTAGCTCCAGCATACAGGCCTGGCCTGTGGTTTCCAGATTAAGGCCCAATGATATATAGTACCTTAAATATCTCTTCTTTATTAAAACTTTATTAAAACCTAACATTTTATATATAGGAGCAAAAATAACATCTTTTAAAAACTCCACCTTATTAGGGGCTGGAGCGATAGCACAGCGGGTAGGGCGTTTGCCTTGCACGGAGCCGACCCGGGTTCAATTCCCAGCATCCCATATGGTGCCCTGAGCACCGCCAGGAGTAATTCCTGAGTGCAGAGTCAGAAGTAACCCTGTGTACCGCCAGGTGTGACCCAAAAAGAAAAAAAAAAAACCACTCCACCCTACTAGGGAAAGTAACATCTCAGGCTGCTGCTGGAAGTGACCGAGTGTAGTACTCACAGGGAGGACAGAGTAAGCTGCGTCATGGCTGGGAGACCATGAATGCGATGCAGAGTGTGATGGGTCAGGTGTGGGGCCGAGCCCGTCCTGGTGTACAGGAGGCAGCCTGGAAAGTCCACGGTGAGGTCCCCTGCTTTGCCGAGGTTTTTAATTTTTCCCAGGCGACAGCCATTAACTACCTTGGTAAGATTCAACTTCATCTTAATAGACTCCTTTAGGTCCTAATTTTAAAAGAGAAAAAAAGAAAAGCATTAAAACAATTTCTAAGAGGAGAGATTATTTTCTAATTTGTTCCCAGATGGTTTAAGAGAAACAACACAGTACATATATGTGATTCATAAGTTATCGAGTACAATAGCTTATAACTGGGAAAAGAAAAATGTTCAAAGGAAAAAATAATACATTTCCTGACTCCCACAGATACATAAGGAGAAAAGAATCAAAGTATTATCGATCAATTTCCTGATTATTCATTATAAATCCTAAATTTTATTTCTTTTTGTGAAAAGAGAAATTGGAAAGTACACACCCAGGAGTACTCTGGGCTTACTCCTGACTCTATGCTCAGGGACCAATCCGAGTAGTATTTGGGGAACCAGATATGATACTGGTCATCAAACCAGTATCACATCACCAGGGATCTGCTGCATGAGGATAAGTGCCCTACCCATTTCAGCCCCTGAATTTCATTTCCTAAAATGTCCTACAAACCTAGGTAGCCAAGGACGGCATATAATGTATAACATGACAATGAACATACCACATTTTGGGCTGGAGCGATAGCACAGCAGGTAGGGCATTTGCCTTGCATGCAGCCGACCCGGTCGACCCAGGTTCAATTCCTCCGCCCCTCTCAGAGAGCCCGGCAAGCGACTGAGAGTAACTTGCTCCCATGGCAAAGCCTGGCAAGCTACCTGTGATGTATTTGGTATGCCAAACACAGTAACAAGTGTAACAATGGAGACGTTACTGGGCCAGCTTGAGCAAATCGATGGACAACGGGAGGACAGTGACAGTGACAGTGTAATATTTCACTACTGTATCTACAAATTCTGTATATTCCGGAATTACTACCAATTGAACTTGGCCCATTTTTCATAGGAGATAAATTATCACAGTCTCAAAGTTATATCCTGTATATCCTGTCGTCTTACGCTTTATACTATAGCATTCTTTAAAGCACACCATCATGTGCACTGGAGTGACGGTATAGGGGTAAAGGCGTTTGCCTTGTGCACAGCTGACATGGTTTGAGCTCTGGCGCCCCATACGGTCTCCAGAACACCACCAGGAGTAATTCCTGAGTGCAAGCCTTGAGCACTGCTGGCTGTGGTGCGAAAGAGGCAAATACATACATACATACATACATACATACATACAAGATTCCACCACTGTTAAAGATGCTGCCAAATAAGCCTCACATGTATTAGTTAAAAATCTGTTTAGAAATGATAATGTTGCACTTGATTCATATACTGAAATAAAAGTCAATACAACTATAGAAATAAGAATAATTTTCTGCATGACCCAATGAGAGTTTTTCTGTTTAACTGGGTAATCCCCCGTATACCACAAGACCCTTGCCTCGAACCGACAGTTCAGCTGGCTGAGAACTGCTGGGAAGAGCCACCAGTGGTCCCGAACACCACTTACAAGCACACCCTCATCCAAGAAAAGTTTAATTTTGGGGGCAGGGTGAAGGGATCATACCTGGTGGTGCTAAGGGCTTGCTCCTAGCTCTGTGCTCAGGGATCTCTCCTGGTGGGACTGTGGGGGACTAAACGGGGTTCTGTGGATGGAACCAAGGTAGGCCCATGAAAGGCAAGTTTCCTACCCACTTAATTATCTCTCTGCCCGCCACCCTCCTGCCAGTTTAAATTTATATCCTAGTTGTTTTTTGATACTAAGATTTTATTGGCTTTAGTGATTCATGGACAACCTGGCAGGCTACCGAATGTAACCTGCCCACACAGCAGAGTCTGGCAAACTCCCCGCGGCGTACCCAATATGCCAAATACCAGTAACAATGATGGGTCTCATTCTCCTAACTCTGAAAGAGCCTTGAATATGGTACTCTTTAAAAATTCTCAGGGCTAGGACGAAGGAGACGTTACTAGGGCCTGCTCGAGGCAACCGACAAATAACAGGATGGTCGTGATCGTGATCGTGAGTGATTCATGAATTGGACATTATGCAATATAGTTGACAAAAAGGTACACCCTCTATTTTTAAAATTAAATACATAAACAAGGTATAAAGAATCTTCACAGGGTAATCACACTTAGAGACTGGAGTGATAGCAAAGCAGTTAGGGTGTTTGCCTTGCATGCAACCAACCCAGATTCAATCACCAGCATCCTATATGGTCTCCTAAACAACGCCAGGAGTAATTTCTAAGTGCAGAGTGAGGATATAATATTCAGGATTACCCAGAGACTATAAATCCAAGCTCCTGGAAGAGAACGCAGAATCTCCTGCCCCCGTGCCTGGCTGTCCTCACTGGGGCCCCTTGGAGGGGGGCAGGTTGAGGATCCCTCCCTGCCCTGAGCAGAGCCCCGGCAGCTGAAGACTTCCAGAACCAGTCACAGTCATGCTTAAGACCACTCTTCACACACTCGGACAAGCCTCAGGCATGAAAGAACCAGGAGAGGAACCCAGGTATGTAGGACCCGGGGCTGAGATCTCCAAGCCTGTTCAGATAGGGACTGGGTCTCCTCCACCCAGATCCCCCATCTTCCAGTAGCTAAGCATTACACCCTCCAACTGACCCGGGGCTGTGTAATCCCATCAAGGGCCAAGACCCAGAGACTATAAAACCAAGCTCCTGGAAGTGCGCGGCCGTGAATGAGACCTCTTATTGTCTAGTTCTCACTCACGGAGAATCCAGCAGGCTCCCAAGAGTATCCTGCCTGCATGGCAAAGTCTGGCAAGCTCCCTGTGGCATATGTGATATGCCAAAACCCAGTAACAATGATGGCTACCATTCCCTTGACCCTGAAAGAGCTTCCAATGTGGCACTTGCTAAAATCTCAGGGCTAGGACAAAAGGGGATGTTACTTGTGCCAGCTCGAGGAAATCAATGAACAACTGGATAACAGTGATTACTGCTGGGTGTGACAGTGACAGTGATTACTGCTGGGCGTGACCCAAAATGCCAAAAAGGAAAAAAATAGTTTAGGTTTCTATAATGACTTCGATTTTATTATTATCTTTTCTCATCAAGTCCACACTTTCATTTTTTCAGCTTACTAATAAATTATATGGGATCAGCAATCAAAACCTCTTAGGAACATATGATAATCTGCTTTCCTACAGTTAGTTAATTCAATTCCTGGTAAGTAACAGTAGTTTACATATTAACTATAATGTTAAGGCAACATTGTATACTCACATTTTCCATTTTGCTGTAGTGTTCTTAGAGATCTTACTTTTTATTTCTTCCCAGACAGGGGCCTCTGACACTATCTATCTTTCCCAGTGTGTACAACCTATACCCCTATACAAAGTTAAACATATCTGTTTATGGGAGGAAAGTTTTTCATTAGTACAACACATACATAGGGCCAACGGGCAGCTGAGAAGGCTGCAGCTCATGCAGCAGCACCAGGATTCAACCCAGCACTTGGCATCAGAGCACCATGCCAAGGAGAAGTCCCTGGGCAGTGCCAAAGTGTGACCCAGAACCCCCTACTCCCCCCCCCCAAAAAAAAAAGATTACGTAAAAGCAGAAATTCCATAAGGATGCAGTTCTCTATAATTTGCTTTTCCTCTTAAGACAAAATGAGTATCTTTCCTTGAAGAACCGTAAAGCCAATTATGTCTCTCCTTCAAAGAAAAATAGTATTTAAGAATAACTACTTCTTGATCATCCATAGTTTGAATGAATAGATTTATTCAACCATCGCCCTTCTGATGGACACCAGGTTACAACGCCGGTCCTATGATCTCGGCAATAACCTGAAGCACTGGCTTCCCAGATTTCGTTTCTCGCCCCCCCTGAAATCGTTTGCATTTCCTGACCGTGATTACAGTATCAGAGCATTAAGGTCTCCCTTTGACTCGTGAGTAAAGGCAGGAACCACAGTAACTTAAACAAGTTCCCCAAGGTCCCACGATCACAAAAGAAGCTGGGTTCAAATTCCAGTTCCCAAGTTCTGCTCTGCCTTTCGAACCCCGATGGGTTCCAGGGCCGACTGTCCCCGGGAACGTCTAGGTTCTACCTTGACTAATAGATCTCTTTGCAACGCGTGAGCCACCTCCGGGGTTTGGGTCTGGGGTTTCAGACCATGCCCACCAGCCCAGGGAACCTCCCGCAGAGTCCCTGACCTTTGGGACAGAGGCCGACTTTTAGGGTCTCCCTGACATCTCAGAGACGTGGTCAAGCTCACATTATCTGGAAGGCAGAAACCAAGAGATGCCAAGAGGAAGGAGCTACAGGGCAGGGGTCCAACACTGCAACACAATCAGGAAGTGTGCGGGCGCGACTCTCTCCACCCGCCCGGAGCGGCTAACACACCTTCAGAAAAGGGAACACCTACCTGCAAGTTTCCCAACTTTGGGGGGGTCCTAGAGCACCTCCCAACTCCTTGAATTCCCGCTCACACGTGTGCAACCTAGAGCCTCGGCGGCGCCCCAAAGCCCCGCCTCCGCCCCCGAGCCAATCAGGAGAGCGCGCGTCATAACCACGCGCCGCAAGACGGGGGCTGGACGGCCAAGGTCCGCTACGGCGGCCGCGAGGCTTCCGGGCCGCGGTCGTTGCCAAAGGCAACCGAAGGCACGCGTCTGGCCTCCGCAAAGCCTCCTGGGAATCGTAGTTCCACAGCACCTTCCCCCGCCTGCCGCGCAGGGAGCGAGAACTACAAGTCCCAAGGAGCCGTGCCTGCCGCCGATGCAGAAGAAGCGCTGTGGGCGATCTGGCCCACGGCCCGGCCGGAACCTGCACAATGCTGCTGGCCTCTCAGGAAGGTTCCTCCTCGAGGAAGAGGACGGAGCTGAATCGCTGGAGGCAGTTTGCGAGGAAGCCAAAGCCCCAGGTGATCAATCCCAGCCGGGAGCTCTGGGGACGCGAGCCTGGCCCCGCCTGCCTGCCTCCCTCCCTTTCCTTGGAGCATCCTGACCTGACCCTCCCCGACCCTGGCCTCTCCCAGGCGCCAGCGTCGCCCGGAGTTTGAGAGCCCAGGACCTTTGGGGTCTGGGGTCCCACGGCTTTGGTGGGCAGCCTCACGGAGGAGCCGTTAGTTGCCGTGTCATGCATTTCTCAAAGCCCAGAAAGTCTGGCGAGTGCCCACCCGGAGTCACAGAATCGGCCAACTCCTCCCACTTCCCAGAGCCACAATTTTCAAGAACTTCCCGCACATTCTTTCATGCCCTACTTAAAATAACAATAAATAATAATAATTTGCAAAGTATAACCAACTTCCTGTGACTGATTGGAAAGGGACGCGCTTCAATTCTCTACCTCAAAACCCTCCTCCCCTTCTAAGGTTTACGTAAAAGTGAACTCAGACTTGGAAGTGGGTATTGATTGACTATCGCTACCGACTGATTCACTTGAATTTTTCAGTCTCTCCTCCTATTCAGAAATGGAACCTATAATTTGCTTTCTCCATTGATACAGTAACAGCCCAGAACCTGGAAAACTGATTTCCCAGTTTTAAACTTGAAATGTGGAAATGATAGATGCAAGAACAGAGCTCGCCACCCACTACCTTTTTTTTTAAACAGAAAGCTTAATGTTTTCACTGTAAATAAGAATACTGAAATGGAGGCGCTTCTCAGCTTTGTCTATTCCAGAGCCGGTTCACTAGCTGTTTGCACTGTGAAGACCCACTTCCTTAAAAAATTGTCTTAAAGACATGTGACCTTCGAGAGGGCCCTAGGCATTTGTGCCTGCAGTTTATTCTAAATATACCAACTAACCCAGATTCTGAGGGTTGCCTGCAGGAGCATTACAGAGGTTTGGGTGGAGACTGCTTCTCTTGTAATGAACCAGACCCATAATGAATTGGGACGAAAATAGGTTCTAGTTATAGACTTGAGGACGAAGTAAAAATGGGGGACAATTTCTTGGACTCCAGAAAGAAAGAATATTTGCTGTTAGAGCTCATTGTTCCTGCTTAAAGGATAAACTGGTAGAAACATGCGCTTTTTTGAAGTTCAGCTGTGTTTTAATTGGCTCTGCTCTTTCTTTGTTCTGGCGACAAAATTATTCACAAAATTATTCAGCTGAACTTCTGCATTAATTAGGTATTTGAAAGGGACTTTGAAGGTGAAGTGTTATGTAAGTTAACATGTTACACCTTTCCCTCCTCCATGTGTCATTATGCCAGTTTAGATATTCCCTTATTTTAAAATAATATAATAAGTACCTAAATTATTAGCAAAGCAAATGCCTCTATTTGCTAGCTGGCAGAAGAAATTATGCAAGCTTATGATATAGAGAGTGAAGAAAGAAGATGTCTTATTGATCTGATGTCTAATTTAGATTAGTATCTCAGAGTAAAGAGATGTGATTTCTACTAAGTCTTTCCTTTGCAAAACAAATAAGATTGATTATCTTTTACCCACCCCCTAACTTTTTCCCTCCATTTGGGCCACATCCATAATACTCAGGCCTTATACCTGGCTGTGTGCTCAGGGATCACTCTTGGAAGTGCTCAGGAGATGATATGGGTACCAGGAATAGAATCTGGGTCGATCACAAGTGCACGATCCACTGTACTTTCTCTCCAGACCCTGCTAATTCTTATTACATTAAAAAAAAAATCCTTGCTCCAGGATGCTTTTTGCTACAGGCTGTTTGAGAAAAGAGGAACTTAGAGGAGTACACCTTTCCCTAAGCAGGTTTATCTTCGTGGCATTTAAGTAATCAGATGAATCTGTGTTTATTTTAATTTATGTATGTGTTTGTGTTTTGTTTTGGTTTGGGCTGTAGCAATAGCACAGTGGGTAGGGCTTTTGCCTTGCACACGGCCGACCTGGGTTCTGTTCCTCCGTCCCTCTCTGAGAGCCTGGCAAGCTACTGAGAGTATCCTGCCCACACGGCAGAGATACTTGGTGTATTCGATATGCCAAAAACATAACAAGTCTCACAATGGAGACGTTACTGGTGCCCGCTGGAGCAAATCTATGAACAATGGGAGGACAGTACTACTTTGGTTTGCTTTGGCTCTGGGACCACATTTGGAAGTTTTTATGGACTATTCCTGACTCCATGGGATCCGTGCAGTGCCTGAGATTGAACCTAGGCCTCCAATAAGCAAAGCATGCACTGAACCAGTTGAACACTCTTCCCAATCCTTCATTGTTTTTCATAAGGGTTAGTTTATCTAGCATTTTTTGACTTGGGTCTTAATCATGGAGAGCTTTTTTTTTTTTTTAAATGTCCTGGCTCATTTTATCTCTTGTCAATTAAAACAGGATTCTGAGTGGGCTCAAGCAAAACAATAAAGCAGTCAGAAGGTGTCCCATAGAAGACTTCATGTTTCTTTTTGCTACCATCACTCTTATGTGCTGCTGTTGCGGAATTTTCTAAATAAATTCTTTGAGGAAAGAGTAGAGGATACTTTCCCGTTTACTTTAGTCGTAGAGAAAGATTAATATTCAGGGCTGAAGAGATAGTACAGCAGGGAAGGTGCTTACCTTGCATGCACCTGACACGAGTTCAGCCTCTGGCATCACATATACATATCCCCCCGCCCCAAAACCCCACCAGGAGTGATCCCTAAACACAGATTCAGAAGTAAACCCTGAGCATAGCTGGGTGTGGCCCCAAACCCAAAAGTAATACAGTGGTAAAGTTGCTAGAGATGTTGCTTGTATTTATCTTGTATTAATATTCTGCATGTATTATCTGTAGATTGCCTTTGATCCTGACAATGTGGAACACTGGATGAAGGTAAGGATATTTCACAATTAGTAATAGAAGATAATTAAGAGTCAGGCACAAGGGGCTGGAGCAATAGCACAGTGGGTAAGGTGTTTGACGTACACGCAGCCGACCCAGTTTCAATTCACAGCATCCCATATGGTCCCCTGAGCACCACCAGGAGTAATTCCTGAGTTCATGAGCCAGGAGTAACCCCTGTGCAACGCCTGGTGTGACCCAAAAAGCAAAAAAAAAAAAAGTCAGGCACAATGAAATGGAAAAAAAATATTACTAGACCTCTACTGTATACTTATTTTGCTATTTTTATTCCAATGACTGTATATTTTGCTTTCATTTTATACTTTTTAGCCTTTTACCATATTTTTATTGCTTATGAAAGTATGAATGATAAGAAAACAGATGTAGACATGGCCTTTCGAGTGCCATTAGTATCATATGAAGAATATTAAAGGTGCAGGGGAAGAAAAATCTTAGTAGAGGATTTTGTGGCTTTCCTCAGATATTGCAGTAATAATAATAATGTAGTTATATTTAAAATACACATGGAGGAAACGATGATGCTAAAACTTTTATGCGGACTAGAGCAGTCCAAATATGGAGTGGGGGTTCTAATAAAGAGGTGTGTTTTCTATCATTAAAGTAATCAAGTAGATTCTAAATGATCACTTAAGGCTGATGAAGACTGACTGAACATTCAGTGGGGTGGGGATGGTTTGTGTTAGAAAAATCCCTGAGATCTTTCCTAGCTCTGAGATGTATATTTTTGAGTACAAGTACCATTTAAATTAGAAGTACCATTAAAACACTTCAGTTTCATCCTTGGAGTGTTAATTTGGCAACTTGCCAATTAATTTTTGACCGACATGTTTCAAAATGTGCAGCTTTTTTCTGGGGAAATACTCTTTTTCCTGCCTATGTCACGGTCCTCCCGTTATTTATCAATTTGCTCGAGCGGGTCCCAGTAACATCTCCATCATGAGACTTGTTGTTACTGTGTTTGGCGTATCGAATACATCACGGGGAGCTTGCCAGGCTTTGCCGTGCGGGCGAGATACTCTCGGTAGCTTGCCGGGCTCTCCGAGAGGGGCAGAGGAATCGAACTCGGGTCGGCCATGTTGGCCGCTTGCTAGGCAAACGCCCTACCCACTGTGCTATCGCTCTAGCCCTGTGCCTGCCGATATGTATATATATATACATATATATACATATATGTGTGTGTGTGTGTGTGTGTGTGTGTGTGTGTATTGCTTTTTGGGTCACACCCGGTGATGCTCAGGGGTTATTCCTGGTTCTGCATTCAGGAATTACTCCTGGCGGTGCTCAGGGGACCATACAGGATTCTGGGAATCCAACCCGGGTCAGCTGTGTGCAGGGCAAACTCCCTACCGCTGTACTATCGATATAGCCCCTTGCCTGCTTATATTTTGACTGCAAGCTTTATGAACACTAAAAGAGATTTCAAGCCAGCTGTAGTATTCATTTATTCATTTTATTCATATGGCCAGTATCAGTATCTAATTAAGTACCTACTACAGGGCCATTATGTTGATTGCTGGACATAAAACAGTACACAGGTCTCATATAGTTCCTGCAGAGTTTAAACCATTGGAGAATGAGTCTTTGTTTAAAGGTGATAGGAGAAGTAAGGGTGTAATTGAGGCTTGTGGTTAAGAGTGCTGGCATACATTGACCAAGGAAGACAAAGTGGCTTCTGCAAAATGCCTGACTTAGAAGACACTCAAGTAGATCTGACACCATGGAGGCTAGCTTTGGGAAATGCCCTAGTTTTCTTCCTTTTTTAAAAATTTTATTTTCATAAGGTTGTTCACATTAGTTGGTTACATTCAATAATTCAACACCAATCCCACCACCATTGCCCATTATACCTTCTCATCACCAGTATTTCAAATTTTCCCACCACCATTAAAGCCTGACTGCCACAGACAGATTATAAATAATTTATTTTCTGTTGCTTATTATAAATTTCATGAGAGGTCCTGGAATTTTAAATATGTAAATGATTGGGGTCTAGAGACATCTTTGTAGAGAGCTAGTCCATTTTGAGATTCGTTTATAAGTTTCTGGATCAAGTCCTGTGGCACGCTTAAATATGGCCCAGAGGCAGTTCATGGGCAGGGCAGCCGGGACCCTGAGTGGGCAGACAGGGAGACGGGAAATGACGAACTATCTCTGCTGCCAAGTGGCCTGGCATCTTCAGACCCTGTTTCCGCGTACCTTGGTTTTAATTCTGAAAGTTTGTGGCCACCGCGGGTTCATCTAGAGTGGGCTGAGAGGGGACACCAGCTCCATCTGAGGTGTCCCAGTGAAATCGGCTTGGCATGGGATCCAGAGTGATCTCTGGTGAACTGCTGTCTTCCAGGATTCACTGCTGTGTCTAGAAAATTCTCTCATTAAGGTTAGCTTAGGTATCATGTTTGTTTGTTAGTGGGTGTGCTGTGTCTCGTTTGCCAAGGTGTCAAAAATCAGATGGGCTGGTCACGTAATGAGATGTAGAGATGACCGCTGGACTAGAGCCATTACCCACTGGATGCCACGGGATGTCAAAAGACCGCGTGGCCGCCCACCTACCAGATGGTCAGACTTCTTCATCAAGATCATGAACGATCGGTTTGAGGCTCTTCGTGTCCCTAGAGCAAACAGACACCATTGGGCTACACTAGCATGCGACAGGGACAAATGGAGACGTTACTGGCGCCTGCTCGAGCAAATCGACGATTAATGGGAAGTCAAGTGATCAAGTGCTGTGAAAAAATAAAACTGGTGTGTGAGGGTACTAGGTCAAAGGACTGGAGAGCTTGCATTGCACTCAGACTTAGGTTCAATCCCCAGCAATGCATGGTGGCCCATATCACATGGAAGTGTGGAGGCTGAGCAGTCCCATAGACAAGGAGACACAAAGTTCCAGAGGTAGACACACCCTAGGCTATTTGAAAAGTGAACAGCACAGTCAGTGTGAGTGCAAGAAAGTGAATGGTGGCAAGAGGCAGAGATAAAGCGGTCTCCCTATTGTGAATGATCTCAAAACAGCATTCTTTTCTTCTTTTTGTTTTGGGGCCACATCCAGTGATGCTCAGGGCTTACTTATAACTCTGCACTCAGGAATTACTCCTGGTAGTGCTCTCCAGACCACATGGGATTCCAGGGATTAAACCTGAGTCAGGCACATGCAAGGCAAGCGCCCTCCCCACTGAACTCTCTCTTCAGCCCCTCAAAACTGCATTCTTACACCTTTTAATACCTGACGAACAGAATCTGCCCTGTATATACTACCCCACAGATCAGCGGTTACAACCGAGGCACAAGACCAGTGGTTTTCAACCTTCCTACACTTGCAGACTGGCTATGTGCAGGGCCTCCTCCAGGTCCTGTGTCCAGGGATCACTCCTGGCATATGTGATCCTAGAGATTGAATCAGAATCAGCTGTGTATAGGCAAATGCATTAACCACTTTACTTTCTCTCCAACCCCAGGACTTTGGTCTTTATTTTCAGTGACACAGGGACCATTGGAGGGTTTGGCCAGAGCTTTTAAATGATAAGACTTTCATTTTTATGGGGTCTTTTGGCTGCCATGATGAGAGGCTATTATATAAAACCCGTCAGGAAATTGTGGTGTGTTGGAATAGCAGTATAAGGTGACATGGAGGGGTCAGAGTCTAGATATATTCTGAATATAGAGCCAGCAGATTTGCTGATAGACTGTAGGAGAGAGAAACAGATTTCAGAAGAAAAGTTTTTGCCCTGAGGAACTACAAGAATGGAATTTTCACAACTTTGAGAGTGGAAAAACAGCACGCAGGAAAGGAGTAAATTCTTTTCAGGCCATGTAGATTAAGCAAAATGCCAAGATGCTTACTTTTCCTTCCCCAATCCTCTTGAGTTTGGCCTTTTTATTTTTTTTAACTACTATTTCAACATTGAGCCAAACTATCCCAGATGACCACATTTTAATGACGATCCCAATTTTTAAAAATTTATCTTTTACTTTATTTAAACACTGTGGTTTACAAAACTTTTCAAAATAGAGTTGTTAGGGTCATTCAGTGTGTCATCACCAACCCTGCCCTTGGTGTGGCCATTGTTTCCACCTCTCAGTTTTGTGCCGCTTGGCAGGCACAAAATTATTTTGTGTGACTTGTAATAACTAATGCAATTATCGAAAAATACTCTGGAAAGGAAAATTTGTGAAAATTGTTCTATCTCCCCAGAGGGTCATTAAGTCCTTGCCTGAGGGATAACTAAGCTGTTTCTTGCTAGTTGACCATTCTGTATTACTGTTTTTGTTTGCTGCCCATAGTTGGCTTCTTTGTTACTTTCATGTCTCATCTGGTGTGCTCCTACCAGGCTGTCAGCATTGTGGGATTTGGAGGTGATCAGTCCAACGAGGCCAAGCTTACATGCCAGGGGCTGTGGGCTGTGGGTATGGCTACTGGGGCTTCTGGAATTGCTGCCTGCCCCGACTCCGAGAAGACCCCAGAGTTCTCAGCCTGAACGTTTCCGGTGTACTTGGAAATTTTTTTTTAGTTTGGCATCTCTGCAAGGGTTAGCTGTGAAGCAGTGGAGTCAGGCCATTGGCATGGTGGCAGATGTGAGGTGTGGGTGTGGCTGCCAAGGCTTGGGCAGGGTGGGATTCAGGTGAGGGTACCCCAGAGTTATCATCCGTAAGACCTGTGTACCCCTGAATTTTTGCAGCTTGGCTTCTATCTCTTCTGAGATTAGCCTTGAATCTGTAACGCTGGTCCAGTGAGTTTACATGGCTATGGGATATTGACTATTCGAATTTTGCTGAACCTAGAATTTGCCTCATACATGATTGGTAGTCCCATTCAGGAATGATAATTTAGGAATGTGTAGCTACTCTGCCTTTGATTCATACTCATATCAAAGGTTTGGTGGTGTAGAAACTAGGTTTATTATTTTAATTGTGTATAAATGGGCTGGAGTGATAGCACAGCGGGTAGCGTGTTTGCCTTGCATGCCGTCAGCCCGACTGAGCCAGGTTCAATTCCTCCACTCCTCTCGGAGAGCCTGGCAAGCTACCGAGAGTATCTCACCTGCACAGCAAAGCCTGGTAAGCTACCTGTGATGTATTCAATATGCCAAACAAGTCTCAAAAAAAAAAAATTGGAGACGTTACTGGGCCTGCTCAAGCAAATCGATGAACAATGGAAGGACAGTGACAGTGTGTGTATAAATAAAAAGATTATTTGGTATTAATCTTTAAGCTTCAAGAGTTCTTTCTAAAATGGAAAAATGAAAATATTTTAATAGTTGGCAGAAAAGTAAAGTTTGAAGAAGATGAATTCTATAATACTAAACAAAGTTTTTACATTAATGGATTTTTATTTCTATTATATTGAAGAAAGTGGAAAAAGCCTCAGAACTTGCTGTTTCCAAAGTTTTTTCTTCTGGAAATTCAGATATATCTAAAAGACTTTTGGACCAAATTATAGATCTGGAAGTATCTGAACAAATGGAGGATCATGATGAAATCTATGCAGAAGGTGAGAGAAATGATTTTTTTTAATTCCCTATACGTTTCAAATTACAGAATGAAAACTTTCCTTACTCTTATTTTTTTTCTCAGTGAAGCATAATTTTGGGGGAGTCTGGGGAGGCAGTGGGACCACACTCTGCAGTTCTTAGGACTTACTCCTTGTCCTGTGCTCAGGGATCGTACCTTGCAGGGTCCAAGGGAACATGTGTGGTGCCAGGGATTGATCCTGGGTTGGTCATATTCAAGGCAAGTGCCCTACCTGCTAAACTATCTCTCCAGTCCTGAGGTAAAATAGTTTTTATTAAAAGAAATTTACTTAAAGATATGTATGAGAGAAAAAAAGAGAAGTACACGATCAAGAGAAAACATGAGCTTCTACAGAGCTTTTCTTATTCTTAAAATTTATTTCTCTCTACTACCATGAAGCTTATTTACTTTGAGTTAGTCCCAACATTGGGCACAGCGGGTAGGGCTTTTGCCTTGCACGCAGCCAACCTGGCCGACCCGAGTTCGATTCCTCCGCCCCTCTTGGAGTGCCCAGCGAGCTACTGAGAGCATCTCGCCCGCACGGCAAAGTCTGGCAAGCTACCTGTGACGTATTCAATATGCCAAAAAACCAGTAACAACAAGTCTCACAACTGAGAAGGGAAGGAATTCAGAGTGCCACACTCTGGAAGCCAGCTTCCACCTGGATTATATTTCCAGTGGTAGGGCGTTTGCCTTGCATGCAGCCAACATGGCCGACCTGAGTTCGATTCCTCCGCCCCTCTCGGAGAGCCCGACAAGCTACCGAGAGTATCTCGCCTGCACGGCAGAGCCTGGCAAGCTACCCGTGACGTATTCGATATGCCAGACACAGTAACAACAAAGTCTCCAATGGAGACGTTACTGGGCCCGCTCGAGCAAATCGATGAACAACGGGAGGGCCTTTACAGTTTATTTTTATTTTTTCATTTAATACCACAAACATCACACACATATATAAAATGTATACATATTACATATGTGTGTGTATATATCTTATTATGCTGGGTGAAGTACTGTTTTAGACACTTAAAGAACAGATTTTGAACAATAATGAAGTCCTTTATTTTCATAAATATAGATTCTATTCTAGGTATAAAGAAAAAAATTAAAAATTATCAGGTAGGGCTGGAGTGATAGTACAGAGGATAGGGCATTTTCCTTGCACGCAGCCAACCAGGGTTCGATTCTCAGCATCCCATATGATCCCCTGAGCACTGCTAGGAGTAATTCCTGCAAAGCTGGGAGTAACCCTGTGCATCGCCAGGTGTGACCCAGAATGCAAAAAAAAAAAAAAAAATTATCAGGTAGTGATAAGTTATTTGAGTTTGGACCTGAATAATAAGAGGTAGTAAGCAGGCAGTGATGAAAGAAGATCACCCCAGACAGAGGGAATATGGCTTTGTGAGCTGAGTTAAAGAAAGGCTTGGTGTGCTTTAGAAACTCCGTGGAAATAAGCGATCCTGGAGCTTTCTAATGGAGATGAGTCTTTTAGGAATGTCACATAGGGTATAATAGGTTTGGAGAGGGACTCACACAGCCAACCTGGCTTCAATCCCTGGCACACCATGTGGTCCCCTAAGCATCCCCAGGTGTGACCCAAAATAAAAAAAAAAAATTTTTTTTAAAGCCTAGGAGATGCCCGGAGGGGAAAGGGTGTTGCCCTATTCGCCCTCTCCTCTCTGGAAAGAAAGATGGCGGCCGCATGGGAGCCTTGTGGACAGCAGGTATGAACCGGTGGTTGGAGGCGACAAAAACCTCATGGGAAGGGGGGCATTCCGGCCCGTCCTTCACGCCCTACCAAGGTCACCAGTTGCCCCCCACGAGTGGCTCTCCAGCACAGAGCACTCCAGAACACAGAAACCAATCTCTTAATTATCTAACTTTTAGTAGAAATACTTCCAGGGTTAATAAGTAAAATAGCAGAAATCCAAAACCGCGCGGCCGCTATTGCGGCCGCACAACAACATTTAATTCCTGAACCCAGCTGTAGAAAGCAAATCATTTCACAACGCTTTTTCAGCATGTCTGATGGGGGGGTGGTGGTAAACTCTAAATAATAATGGTGCATCTTTTATCGAAACAATGAATCTAGTCAAAGTAGATAGAGTGTTAACTAGAATTCAACTGCCTCACAGGCATTGGGAGGGGTGGGGGGGTGGGGGTTTATTGGGGTTCTTCATGGTGAAAAATAAGTATTGGTAAAGGGAAATGTGTTTGATATTGACATGACTGAGACCTAAACCTGAAAGCTCTGTAACTTTTCCCACAGTTATTCAATAAATAAATAAATTATAAAAAAAATAAAGGCTAGGAGAAAAAATATCCAGATTTAATTCTGAGTATGATGAAACATCACTTAAGGATTTTAAGCAGAAGTGTAACAAGACAAATTTTTTCAATTCTAGCCCATTAAGGTTTCTGAGATTTCTTGCGATTAAAAATAAAGTTTACTTACCCATTTCCTAAACTTCCTAGACTGTAAAGTTTGGAAAATGGGCTAAATAAACATTGTGCCTATTTAACCTGTTAGTAGTCCATATTAGAAAATGCTGCTATAAAAAGGACATGACTTTCAAGGATAATATCCTTTTTCCCCTTCATAAAATATCACTAATGCTCTATAAACAACTAGTTTTGTGGAACATAACTTGAGTAAGTCTTTTTTTTTTTACTTTATTTAAAAACCGTGTTTTACAAAGTTGTTCATGATACAGTTGTTAACGGTATTTGATTTTCCAACCCCAATCCCTCCACCACTGTGACCTTCCCTCCACCATTGTCCCCATTTTCCCAACCACCCTTCAAGTCTGCTCCCATAGCAGAGCCAAAATAACTCATTTTACATTGCTTGTTACAAAACAATGGCTAGTGGAATCATCAAAAAATACTTCAGTAAGGAAAATTTGTGATAATTGATATATCTCCCCATCATATATATCATAAAGGCCTTGTCTGAGGGTCTACCAAGCTGTCGTTCCTAGCTGCACCTTCTGTGGAATGTTTTTGTTAATTGAGCCTAGTTGGCTTCAGTGTTACATTGCCATCCAATCTGGTGAGCTCCTACTGGGATAATGTACTCTAGGGTTTGGAGATGTCGCTCCAAGGAATCCAGAATATCTCACTGGACAGTGAGCTAACCTGGTGGCGGTGGTGGAATGTGGGTGTGGCTTCAGGACGCCAGTAGGCATGGCTTGCAGCTGTAGAGCGTGAGTGGAGCTGCTGGGCTTCGGCAAGGTGGGAACTTGGCCCACCACCTCTTGGGGTCGCCCCAGAGGTCTCAACCAGGGACTGGTGTAGCCAAGAAGTTTTTGCGGCTAGGTGATCTCATTCGAGATTTCATCATGAGTCTCTGAGGCTGAGCTGATAGGTGAGCTTGTGTGGCAGCTGGTGGAATGTGGGTGTGTTGAGTAAGTCTTTTCTAAGGCAGTCTTGGATCCTCTCATCCAACATTAGGTGTTTCTATAATTGAACCCTCCAAAGGAAGTTATTTTTCTTTTCCTTTTGAGTCTCTCAATAGTAAACCACTATTTTCTGATGAATGGCATTTAGTTTATGTGAATTCTTCTCATATGAATTACTCTACATAAAAATATCTGAATTGTCATATATAGGTTTAATCAATAAATATCTACTTCTGCTTCCTCTGAAAGCTGGTAGAATTTTTGCCGGCATGCTACCCTGATATATTTTTAACTATTTTATATATCCTGTATTTGTACCTATGTTAAATGCCTTCTTGCATCATTTAATATGTAGAAATAGTCCATTTCCTACAAGACATGCAATAACCACAATAGCATTGACAATGAAAAAAAGGCACATTTTTCTTTTGAGTGCCCATGTTCTACATAGAATCATTTGATACTGAAAATAATAATGTTAACGGTAATGCTAAATATAGTTTCATGCACTTTCTTTCTCACCTGTATGCTTAAGATGATTTTTTTAAATATCACTGAAAAGGAAAAGAAATGAAACCTGGCTTTCAAGATATTATACCCTTAATTTTCCTTCTAACTCTATGGCTTCTCATTCCTAATTTCCTTTCTTGGTTCTTCTCTCTTCAACCCTTTTCTGTCTACCTTTCTTTTTTGGTAATCTCATCTACTTTTTTTTTAATGTAGGAATACTGCTATTTATTCAGCCACTGATTAGCTGATTGAATTGGGCATGAACTCCATCTTTTTTTTTTCATTTTTTATAATTGTATTTATTGAATCACCATGAGAGGAGTTACAAAGCTTTTGGGTTTAAGTCTCAGTCGTACAATGAAACACCTGTACCTTTACCAGTGACCATTCTCCACCACCAAAAACCCCAGTATACCCCTATTCTAAACCCTCCCCCTACCTGTGGGGCAGATGATTTTCACATTACTCTCTCTCTACTTTGATTACATTCAATATTTTGACACCAGACCCACCATTATTATTTGGGATTTTATCCCAACACTCAGATCTGCTGAAAAGGCAACAGTAGACAATTTGTTTTCTATTGCTGGTTATGAATAACATATGATGTTGCGTGGCTGCAGTAGGGCCATTGATTTTAAAATTCCGAAATTTTAACAATTAAATCTAGAGGGATTTCTGCCAAAACCTGCTGGGTTCTGAGATTTGTTCCTGAGTCTCTTGGATCATGGCCATTAAGTAGCTTGATCAGGAACCAGAAAAGCTGTTAGTGGGCAGTGGACTCGGGGTCTCGTTGGGACGGGGAGGAAAGGGCCGGCTCCACCCCCATCCTGTGAGGCCCTGCATGTCTCATCACTGCAGGCCCAAACCTGACTGTCCAGTGGTCTCTGGAGGATGGCAGCCACCGAGCCACCTAGAGGGAGCAGGCAGAGGGACAGCACCCTTTCCCCCCAGAATGGCCCAGCGACAGTAACCTTCTGCGGGGTCCGGATGCATTTCTGCCAAAAACCACCGGGTTTCCAGATTTGTTTCCGATTCTCTGGGATTATGGCCATTAAGCAGCTTGACCAGGAGCCAGAGAGGCCATTCGTGGGTCTCATTGGGGTGGGGAGGAAAGGGCCAGCTCCACCCCCATCTGTGAGGCCCCACTCTCATCCATCTTTAAGGCTTTAAATACCATGTTTATATGTGCAACACTCATCCCCCCCTGAAACTGTGAATGCTTCAGCCAATACTGTTTGACACCACTATTTGGATGGCTCAAAAGGTATGCCTAAAACTGACTGCTGATCTACTTCGAGAGTAGCAGCCCTCCCTCGTGGCCCTGCCTTTCTTGGTAAATGGCTTTTCCGCCCTTGTAGCTGCTTAGGCCAAAACCTTGTAGATTTCTTTCACTCACATGTCATGTCTATCCTTTAGCAAATCCTATCTTCTTTCCCCAGAAACTCTAGAGTCTGATTATTTTTAACCTCCATTCCAGATTCAGGACACCTTCTTTCTGTCCTGGATTATTGTGTTTGTCTCCTGAATGGTATCTCTTGCCTCTATTCTCAGCCCCTTTTAGTCAATTTTAACGTAGTAGAGTGGATCCTCTAAAATTTGTCATATTTTTGCCCATAACCATCCTGGAACTTGCCATGCATTCAAAGGAAAAGTCAAATAACCTGGAATTATATTAAGACTCTGTACAAGTAATTTCATTTTCAATGTAACTGAAATTTGGTGCCAGATTTTTAAAATTCAGTTATTGCAGCTAAAGTCCCGTGTTTATGATAGCATTAACATCAAGACTTTGATGTACCCAGCCATCATACCTCTGTCCTAAAATATTTCTGTAACTGAAATATAAATAAGATGTTTTTGGTTTTTTGATAGCTCAGGAGCTGGTCAATGACTGGTTGGACATCAGACTTCAACAGGAACTGGCAAGTGATGGAGAAGATGATGCAGAAACTACTGTGCCGAGTGTCCCTCCTGTACTAGAAACACATCACCATTTGAAATATGACAGGTTTGATGGTAAGAACAGACCTATTTTAGTTTATTACATGTGCTGCCGAAGCGAACACAGAACTTACCTGTTTTAGTAATATCCTTTTCCAAGAAGTTTTTTTGCATTGAATAAAAAATTACGACTTTTAAGTATTTTGCTTAATTTTATAATTGAATTAATTTTTCATAATTCAATTTAAATTCTCATCTACTTAATGTATTGACTTTAAAAAAATTAAGATACAGAATGGAACGATAGCAAAGTGGGTAGAGCGTTTTCCTTACACTCACTCAGCCAACCCGGGTTCAATTCCCAACATCCCAAATGTTCCGCCAGGAGTGATTCTTGAATGCAGAGCTGGGAGTAACCCCTGAGCATCGCTGGGTGTGAACCAAAAAGAAAAAAATATTAAGATACTCTATCATACGTAATTCTAGTAGGAGTTTTAATAGTAAGGAGTGCAGTTTATAATCACTTCTTCCATGGGCCAGAAAAAGCACAGGGGTCAAGATCTTATGCATGGCTCATCCCAGTTTGATAACCAGCTCCACATATGGCCCCCTTAGGACTGCCAGGGAGTAAGCACTGCTGCCACAGAGTATGGCCCCCAAACAAAACAAAACAAAAAGGCACCTCTTCCCAAGTATTGCTGCGTGACTCTTTTGACAGATACTACACTTAAACAATCATACAGCATTTTTATATTTACAAATGTATCATTTATAAGGAAGGCTATTATTTGGATCAAAGCTGGTATCATACAAGTTAAGTTTTCCTCTGTGTGCCCGGAGTTTGAAGTTTTTGCCTTGAGCCAGAGAGGCATCAGGTGTGGAGATGGTGGTGGCAGCAGCTCACGCATGACTCAGCCCCCCCTGCTAGCATCCTCTCAACACTCTCCTTCTTCACAGCTCTGCAGAAGTCCCAACTTGGGAATCACAAACTCATGAGCTCTTAGAGGTATTGGACTCCTTCCAGATCATGTCGCCTTATCGCCTCTTGCTCAGCCCCGTTCCAGTTCCAGTTCCTAACCTGAGGTGGACAGGGATCCCACCCTCTGGGGAGGAGCCCACTCAGTTGGGAGACTCATCTTCATAGAATTGTTCTTTCATTAAGAGAATCAGGATTTTGTGGTTGTTGTCTTTTACCCTTTAGTGCAACAGAAAATAGTACCATGCATGCCTCTAATAACGTCTTTTTATTTTTGTGTGGAATCATGGCTGATTCTTCATATACCTCAGTGTTCCTAAATTAAATAGTACTAGTACTCACAACAGTTCTTTAGATTAGATTGTGAGTAGAACCTTCATTTTGCCTGCCAGATTTGAGCACCTCGTATTTTTTAGTTTATTGTCGGTGTTTTGGTGCAAAATTTCAGTATTTCACATTTGTTCTGAATAATATGTGGAATGAGACCAGTTGTAGTTACTGGTTTTGGCATATCGAATACACAGCGGATAGCTTGCCAGGCTCTTCCGTGCGGGCGGAATACTCTCGGTAGCTTGCCAGTCTTTCTGAGAGGGATAGAGGCTTTTGGGGCGACCTCTAATCACCCTTAAGTGATTAAGTGATATGTGGAATGTTGAAACTGTTGCTTTCCTTCCTTTGCCCTACTAGATCTAGTTATATCCTTTTACCTTGATTCGCTATTACTATCTAAATGAAGAACTATAACTAGTATTGATCATACTAAGAGCTTGTAAAGTACTAGTTGTAAAGAGTATTATGATGTTTTTCAATTGAAGCCTTGAAGAAAAATATGTAGCTCTTAAAATGATCTTTACAAAACTGTTAGTGTATGGTTAATTCAGTGTTATTTTCAGAAACAAAAATAAAGCTCTTGACAAAGTCTATCATTGATTTCTGATGTGAAAAAAAAAAAAACTTTTACAAACTGGTAAATTCCTCAACCTGACAAAGGCGATTTACCTGACAATAGAAAACAGATACCAGAATGACCAATCTAAATCATGTCTTACCAGTAATTATATTAACTATAAATAGCTTAAACTTTCTAGTACAAAAGCAGTAAAAGATAATCATACTGGAACTGGCGAGAATATTCAGCAGGGAGGGTGCTCGCCCACACACCCCAGCTCCATCACCAAGTCAACAGGCCCAGCTGCACATGTGGCTCTGTGAATCACATCTCACATTGCTCTCGGTTAGACTCCTGTCACTGGACATAGGAAAGGAGGTCAGCGAAGGAGAAGAGCAACTCCCAACCCAGTTCCTCAGCTTCCCAGGGGTACCATCCACCCTCAGCAAAGCAGTAACACAGCCAACCCAGTGGGGAAGATGCGTTGAAGCCCACCAAGTTTAGTGAGCAAAGCTAAGAAGAAGGAAGACTCCACCAACACTAGCCAGCTCTGTAACCCCTCAGAGAATGACTGCAGTAACACCGTGGTGAGGATGTTGAATGAGCTCGAAGAAATGATGGCACAGGTAGTCCGCAAAGCATAGGAAAGTGTGAGAGCCAAAATGAGAAAACTATAATCAAAAATGACAGAAATGAACAGTGTGGTAAGTGATGTAAAGAAAAAAACATCAATAGAAGATGTGAGCAGCAAAATAATAGTAGCTGAAATAAAGACTAAGGAGCTCCAAAGAGGAAAAGGAGGGAAAACTCTAGAAAAATAACAGAAGATGGGAAAAAAATGCCTGAAAAGAAATGAACAGCATACCAGAGAACTATAGGATGAGTTCAAGAGGAACAATATAAGAATCTTTGGAGTGCCTAAGGAATAGGAAGGTGAATTTGATGAAGAACCAAAGAGCCAATAATTAAAGAAATAACAGATAAGAATTTCCTGGAGTTGAGGAATACAGGCAACCAAATACAAGAGGCCCAGAGGGTTCCAGTGAAAATAGACTCAACTAGCAAATTCCAGGACACATTATGCTTAGAAAAGGAACTTACATATAAAGCCAAGTTTCTTAGGAGATTGGCGCCAAAACAATAGTTCAGTGGGTAGAGCCTTGCCTTGCACGGGGTCACCCCAGATTAGATCCCTGTTATCCCATATGGTTGCCTAAAGCTCCTCCAGGAGTAATCCTTGAACGCAAAACCAGAGTAAGCTCTGAGCTTTGCTGGTGTAATCCAAAAACAACAACCAGAAATTCACAGCAGATCTATTAAACAGACTCTATGACCCAGAGGAGAGTGGGAGGATGTGGGACAGAAGTTCAATGAAATGAACGCCTCACCAAAAATACAGCGCTAGATTACCCTTCAGATTGGAAGGAGCAATACAGAGCTTTCTGTACAGGAAAGCTTAACTTCACAAATTTGGAAGTTAAAAGCCCAAGCCAGAAGTGTTACAGGATCTTCAAACACAACAAACTTTGCAGCACATGACATTGAGTATGGCACTCACTGTAAATATAACTATAAGTCTAGTACTTATAGTTACCCTCTACTAGATTAAGAAAGGAATGTTAACTCCTAGCTTACAAAGGGATTTTATAAATTTTCAATAATGAATTATAATTTTATTTCTAGTGATTATTCTATGTCTGATCAGTTTTTTGCATCCATAGATTTTTTATTATCTTTTGCTTATTACTGCAGATACTTAATATTTACAATATAATAAATATCCCCTTTCATATGATAAAAACACACTTTTATGCTTTTATTAAGCCTATTCAGATTTCCCCTTAAAGTTTTTTTTTATTTGGAGGCTGGAGCAAGAGCACAGCGGCTAGGGCGTTTGCCTTGCACATGGCCAACCCAGGTTCGATTCCCAGCATCACATATGGTTCCCTGAGCACCACCAGGAGTAATTCCTGAGCGCAGAACCAGAAGTAACCCCTGTGCAATGCCAGGTGTGACCCAAAAAGCACTAAATAAATAAAGTTTTCTTTATTCTCTTCACTCTTACTAAAATTGTACATTTGTAGGACTTATCAGTTTACCCTGTAAATTTTGAAATGTATTAGGCACAAAATTATTCATAACGTTTTTCAAATTTATGTACCTCTAAAAAAAGAAAGATGTAGTTTTTTAAAAATTTTTAAATGAATCACTGTGAGATACAATTACAGACTTACAAACTTTCATGCTTACATTTCAGTCATATGATCGAGTACCTATCCCTCCACCATTGCCAATTCTCCACTACCAATGTTCCCAGCATCCATCCCACCACCCCCACCACATCCCCCCCGCCTCTGTGGCAGAAAAAAATTTACTTTATCAGCTTACCATTGATTTACGAGAGAGAGAGAGAGAGAGAGAGAGAGAGAGAGAGAGAGAGAGAGAGAGATCTCCCATATATGGGATAAAGAAGAAGCACTGGAGACAAAAAATGGTCAGTCTCAGAACTAAAGATTTATCCTGGCTCTGCACTCAGGAAGTATTTCTGGCAGCGCTCAGGGGACCATATGGGATGCTGGGGATTGAACCTGGGATGGCTGTGTGCAAGGCAAACGCCCTACCTTCTGTGCTATAACTCCAGCCCCAGAACTAAAGGTTTTGTTTACAAGTCTGAACTTACATTGAAGGGGGAAGGGGAGGGGTCCTTGGTAAACTGGCGGCATGAAACTCTCTGCTGATGGGTGTGTATTCTAATGATGTGTGCAAGAAAAATATGATTAACAGTTCTGTAAATCCAGGTGTAAATACTTGACGTTGCTTGAATTTGGTTTTTGAATTGTGACATCAGTATATTCATGAATATTCTGATGAATATTCTAATAATTCTTTCTAGATTCATTTTTTTTGGTAAATTGCCAGTTGTGACACCTAAACAAAACAAAACAAAAAATTTCGTAAATCCCAGTATCTCAATATAAATATTTAATAGAAAATTAAACTATTGATAAAATAATAATAGTTCTCAGAGAACCCTGCAAGCTACCAGGAGTATCCTGTCCGCAAGGCAGAGCCTGGCAAGCTACCCGTGGTGTATTTGACATGCCAAAAACAGAAACAATAACAGGCCTCATTCCCCTGACCCTGAAAAAGCCTCCAATACAGCAGCATTGGGAAAAACGAGTAAGGAGAGGCTGCTAAAATCTCAGGGCTGGGACAAGTGGAGACATTACTGGCGCCCGCTCAAGTAAATTGATGGACAACGGGATAACATGATACAGTGATACAGTGATTGATATAACAGCACGGGTGAGTTTCAAAATAATTATACAAAGTGGAAGAATTTTAACCAAAGAAAGTATACCTCATATATGTTTCAATTAATTGACATAAAATTCATAAGCCAATCTATGGGGTGGAGTGATAGCACAGCGGGTAGCCTTGCACGAAACGGCCGACCCGAGTTTGATTCCTCCACCCCTCTAGGAGAGCCTGGCAAGCTACCCAGACTATCTCGCCTGCATGGCAAAGCCTGGCAAGCTACCCACGACGTATTCGATATGCCAAACTCAATAACAAGTTTCACAATTGTTACTGGGCCCGCTAGAGCAAATCGATGAACAACGGGAGGACAATGACAATGATGTTGACTGGAAGGAGATTTCTGATGATCTGGCATGGAGAAGCATAGGAAAAAAGAGACTATAAATTGATGAGAGAACCCTCTTGGGGCTGACATGTGCATCATAAGCTAATGTGATAGTTGGATGTCAGTTATGTATCTTCAGAAAAAGTTATGTTTAATGTATTTTCAGAAAAAGAAAAAGAAAAAACAGCAGCAGTGGGCTTCTCAAGGATATAGATATTTAGAAGGGAAGGGTTCTTTATTGGCTTTGGTGGAGACAGTATCTCAAAAGTAGAGGTTATTAAAAGTAGCGTTTATTCACAGTTGAAGATAATAATTGCAGGGGCAATACTCATTCAAATTGGCACTATTTTACACCCACAGCTTAGTATTATTTTTAATTGTACCCGTATTATTTCTATAGACATAGACATGAATCTTAAATTCTAACACACTAATTTTGTTGTGGTTGTTCTGTTTCTCTCAGATTTATGTGACTATTTGGAGGAAGAAGAGGAAGGGGACACTGTTAAAAAATTTATAGATCATCTGCTCCATAAAGATGTGGTGGATTCTGGGGTGTTGGATGATCTTCGAATGAAGGAAAACCAAGACCAGAAGCAGCAGAAGGATCCTCGTCTTACCATGGAGATGAGACATAAGCAGGTGGGAGGGAAAACAAAATTAAAATGGATAACAGGAAGCAATCTTTGTGTAACACATTTAATATACTTAAATAAAGACTTAGGCTTTATTATGAAAAGGAGTGCCATCTGTGATTTGGTTTGAAAGAACAAAAATAAAATACAAGAGCTTCAGAAGAAAAATAATATTCATAAACTGAGAATGAGAAATTATATAAGAAAGCCAAAAAGGAATAATTAATTTTGACCAACAGAGTGTTGAGCTAGACATTAGTTTGGACGTGGAACTTCCTATTATAAATATGTTTATTTGGTGTTGCTTGAATTTGGTTTTTGAATTGTGACATCAATATATTAATATCATGAATATTCTGATGAATATTATAATAATTCTTTCTAGACAACTGAAAAAATGACTCATTTTGTGATTATAATTTGAAAGGGAGAACAGATCTGAATTAAATCTAGTTCAGCTGTTTGAATTAGAAAGGCATATGGGAACTTGCTTTTCAAAGGGAATAGTAGGTTATAGGAAAAAGATACATCCCAAGGCTTTGTAGAGGAGTTTCAGGAAAAGAGAATCACCCAAGTTTTGTCACATGTTCAGAATTCAGACTGAACAAGGATTGTCTGTCTGTGTGTGCACTACCTTTTCTTTCTTTTTTTTTTTTTTTTTTTTTTTGCTTTTTGGGTCACACCCGGCGATGCTTAGGGGTTACTCCTGGCTCATGCGCTCAGGAATCACTCCTGGCGGTGCTTGGGGGACCATATGGGATGCTGGGAATGGAACCTGTGTTGGCCATGATGGCTGCGCACAAGGCAAACGCCCTTCCCACTGTGCTATCGCTCCAGCCCCTGCACTACCTTTTCTTAACACTGAATTTCTGGTTGCTTTAAATCATTAAGGACGGCCTAAACAGCACTGAGAATTTTAGACAAAATGGTAGAAAAATGATGGTGGTTTGAATTTATGACAAAGGGCGGGGGGGGGGGCGGGGATAAGAGAACATCATTGTGTGAAATTCTTAGAATTGGAGAGTACAGAAAGGGCAAGTGGATTAAGGCAGTGGGGTAAGGATCACTTAATTCACAGCTAATCAAGCCCCTAGAGGTTTGGGGGGAAAAGTTCTTATTCAGAAATACTAAAGTTCATATTTTTACTGCCAAATACTTGATCCTGAAATACAAGTTGAAATAGTTTTAGAAATGAATAAAGGGATGTACTGTTCCTGAAAGCAATAAATCACTGTTCTGTACTTCACAAAGTAGTCTCCAACAAAGATAATTATTCTTAAATTATAGGATGAAGACAGGGCCTACGTACAAAGCAGCAGGGTTCATTTTTGAAATTTTTGAACTTTTGTTCAAAATCATTACCAAGTTAAAACTCAAGAACTTGGAACCTGACTTATTAGATTCTCGGCTTTCTGATGTAGATTGTTCCCAAATTATTTGATAATGATCCCCCCTGACTTTATAAAAAATCTTCTGTTTGCCCTTAGCCAGTAAACAATAGATTTCCCCTACTTCATAAGTAAACTGCGCAGTTCTGGGCTCTCAAGTTTCAAACTGAGTGTATTCTGAACTTCAGAATTGTTCCAAGGTTTTATATATCCTGTTTAACTTGAAAGGCTCCATTTCACCTTTCTTTAGGTAAAAGAAAATCGCTTAAGACGTGAAAAAAAACTGGAGCGCCAGCGAATTGAAAGGAACCTGAAAAAATCAGCATTTCTAGAGGCTCAGTATCTGGTACAAGAAGAGAAGAAAAGGAAGGCTCTGGAAGCCAAGAAAGAGGAGGAAGAAATTCGAAGGGAGATGGTAAAGCTGCGGAGGGAGATCATTGAGAGGAGAGTCACTGTTGAGGAAGCATGGAAATTGTAAGCCTGTGGTGATCAGCAGTGTAGAATTTTTAAAAGCATTTTCAAAAGCCATTAAAATTTAAAAAAAAATTAATGAACAACGGTTTCAAAAACAAAACGCAAGTCACCAGCCGTTCCACCATCTTAAATTACCTATCTTCATCTTGCCATGTTTTCTCCTGATCATGGCCTCTTGATAAACTTAGTTGTAACCATAAAATACATTTCATGTGTTATTCTGCTTAATTTAATTAACACATTACTGTGGGTCCTTGAAGCTGTATATTACTCTCTTGAGTTCTTTTTTGTTTTTTTTCCTTTTTCGATCACACCCAGTGAAGCACAGGGGTTACTCCTAGCTCATGCACTCAGGCATTATTCCTGGCAGTGCTCGGGGGACCATATGGGATGCTGGGACTTGAACCTGGGTTGGCCACATGCAAGGGAAACACCCTACCTGTTGTGCTGTCGCTCCAGCCCCTTCTCTTGAGTTCTTAAACCACAGTTTATGTAATGATCTAAAGCCCCTTACTGCTATTTTAGCTATTTCAATCTTGGGGTTGTTTTTTGGTTCTGGGACAAACCTGGTGGTGCTCAGGGATCATTCTTGGGGAACATACGCGGTGCCAGGAATCGAACCCAGATCAGCTGCATGCAAGGCAAGTAAGTTCCATACCCCCTGTACAAATTCTCCAGTCCCATTTAAAATTTTCCACCCCTAGTACAGTGAGTATCCTTATGCAGACAACTTGTCCATTTCCAACACATTTTCCATTGTATTCTTAGGAGTATAATTTTGGAGTTAAATGGTTTCCTCTTTTTCTGATTCTTGAAACATTGCCAAATTGCTTTCCAAATGGACTGTACATATTTACATGGTCACTGGCAGGGGGCCAGTTTGCCCCACCCTCCTCAGCATTGAAGAGTAGCTTCATTCTCAATGTATTTGCACATTTAATAGTAATATATTAATTGGTTTGCATTTCTCTGGTTACCTGAACACTTGAAATGCTGGGCATGTTCCCTTATGCATGTCGCTGAATTGTATCAGCATCTTATTTTCTGTTAAGGAAAGCCATCCTTGCCTTACTGCTACTGATAAAGAGAAAGAATAGATGACATAATAGGAAAATCAAAACAGCTCTCACAGGATGTACTACTATTATGTATCCTCATGCAAAAAATGAGTTTCTTCTTCTTCACAGAAGAAGAATCTGATGTATTTATTCTGAGACTATTGATGTATAAGCTGCAAAAGCCTTGAAACAACGTGACTGAAGTGGTGGAACACTCAAACTGAGAGACCAGAAAGACCTACTAGATAATCCCCTCTACCCCATCAGCCTCCCACAGCTTTGCACCCCTGTGTTCTTGATTGCTCTTATTCTACCCAATTTAAAATAGCTCTGCAGTGGACACACGCTTCGCTCTTTCAAGTGCCAGGCTCGGGCCTCCTCCAGTCGCTTTTCCTTCCAGAAGGCAATCACCAGTGTTTTAGCAAGTTCTTGCTAAGGTCAACCTTGCTTTTCAGATTGCTCTCAAGTCCTGAAAAATCTAGGCTGACCTAAAATACATTGTGAAAACAAGTAGCATTGGATAGTAGCAGTTTGCTCTGCGCACAGTGGCCTTCAACAAATGTTCGCTGACAGCCTGTTTCTTTTAAAAGTTGAAATCTTATTCATTGGATATAATGAGACAGTTAACGTGCTATTCTTCTAGGTGGATGCACTGATGTGTTTCAGAAAACAATTTGGCAATAAACAGGAACATAGAAATGAGATTAACAGTTAACCTGAAAATTTCTATGAAACGGACATTAAATGATTAGAAAGCACAAAGATAATTTAAGCAGTAGTATTTGTAATGGAGATATGAATAGATAGTATTTATACAAAGAAATAACACTGATAAAACAGCACTGGTTAGTATCTTCTGGGTAGAAATACACGTGCCATGTACATTGCAGTTTTTTACAGTGAGCAGGTAATACTTTAATACTTTAAGCAGGTTACCTTTTTTAAAAAATTGGGAGACCGTAGTAATGGTACAGTAGGTAGGCTGCTTGCCTTGCACACAGCCAACCAGACTTCCATCTCTGGAACCCCATAAGGTCCCCCGAGCCAATCAGGAGTGATTCCTGAGCACAAAGCCCAGAGTAAACCCTGAGCACCACTGGGTGTGGCTTCCCCCCCTACCTGCAAAAAAAAAAAAATGATGTACGATATTAGGGCTGTATTTCTACTATACACTATAATTTACTTATCTCCACAAACTATAATACTGTTATAGTATTTTTAAATTTGAAAAAAAAGTAAATACAATTTTATTTTTGGTCGAGGCATTTTAGCTTACTTGTAAACTCGTAAATCTGCTTCGTTGCAGTTTCACTGCATCTCCTCTAGGAGATTAAGTGCAAAGAGAAAAATTATCTCTTCAAATTGGATATGCCATCTTAGTCAAGTGATGGTTAACAGCACAGATAAGATAGAGTATGTGTAACCTCTCCCCACCCATGATATGTAAGAATTAATGTTATCTCTGGAGTACCCTTGTATTCCTCTTGCAACTGTAAAGTGAAATTCAGAAAGACTAAATGTTCTTAACTTAATTTTTACAGCTGTTTTGTGGTCCTGAACCCTGCTACCACCTCTGATACATCATGTATAGTATATACATTTTATACACATAAGCACTGTAGTAGTCTGATAAGTGGATAATGGCTGGGCCAGAGAGATAGTACAGTGGGTAGCACATTTGCCTTGCCTATGGCCAACCCAGGTTCAATTTCCAGCACCCCATTTTTTAAAATGAGTACATTTTTATTTTATTATTGAATCATTGTTGAGATGCACAGTTACAAAGTTGTTCAGGATTGGGCTTCAGTCTTACAATGTTCCAACCCCCATCCCTTCACCAGTGTACATTTCCCACCACCAGTGTCCCTGGTTTCCCTCCTACCACCAACCCTACTCTGGTTCCCTGCCCAGCCTGCCTTTATGGCAGGCACTTTCTTTCTCTCTCTTTCTCGCTCTTTTTCTCTCTTTCCTATTGGGCATTATGGTTTGCAATACAGATGCTGAAAGGTTATCAGGTATAACCTTTTACCTACTTTCAGCGCTCAGTTCTTTCTTGTCCAGTTTCCAACTATGGTGGTCATGGTGGTCATCACTGTCATATCCTCCACCCCCAACCCCAAATTTGTGGTCCGCTTCCAACTTGGACCAATCCTCCTGGCCCTTGTTTCTACTGCTTTGGGGCAATAGTCTCATACTCTTTGTTCTTATATCCCACAAATGAGTGTAATCATTCTGTGTCTCTCCCTCTCTTTCTGACTCATTTCACTCAGCGTGATACTCTCCATGTCCATCCATTTATAAGTGAATTTTATGACTTAATTTTTTCCTCGTGGCTGTGTAGTATCGCATTGTGTAGATGTACCATCGTTTCTTTATCCACTCGTCTGTTCTCGGGCACTCGGGTTGTTTCCAGATTCTGGCTATTGCGAATAGTGCTGCAGTGAACATGGAAGATGGTGTTTCTGGTGTGTGTTTTTGGGCTGCCAGGGCATATTCCTGGAAGTGGTATGCTGGGTTGCATGGAAGCTCAATATCTAGTCTTTTGAGGAATTCCATATCATTTTGCAGAAAGCTGGACCAGTTGGCATTCCCATCATCGGTGAATGGGAGCCCCTTTCTCTCTGTATCCGCGCCAGCAGTAGTTGTTCTTTGTGTTGTATGCCAGTCTCTGTGGCTTGAGATGATATCCCCTTGTTGTTTTAATTTGCATCTCCCTGATTTGTGATGTAGAGCATTTGTTCATGTGCCTTTGGCCATTTGTATTTCTTCTTTGAGGAAGTTTTTGTTCATTTTTTATTTCTATTTTCTGATGGGATGGGATGATTTTTCTCTTGTAAAGTTCCGCCTGCAGCACCCCATTATTGCGCTCAAAGGCCAGCAATAGCCCCTTAGCACAGAGCAAGAAGCAAATCCTGAATGCTATAGGGTATAGTCCAGCCTCTGCCCTTCCCTCAAATTTTGTTTTAAAAAAAGATAGGGACAAGAGGGTTAGTGCAGCAGGCTTTATTTTCAGGGATCACACCTGTTGGTGTTCACGGGACCATAATGTGGTGCCAGGAATCAAACCAGGAAAACTTCTTAACTTTTTTCTTTTGTTTTTGGTTTTGGGTCACACCTGGTGGTACTCACAGGAGACTCCTTGCACACAAACAATCAGGGTTCAATCCCTGGTACCCCAAATGATCCCCTAAGCACCACCAGGAGTGATCCCTGAATGCAGAGTCAGGAGTAAGCCCTGAGCATCATGGGGTGTGGCCAAAAAAATCAAAAAAGAGAAAAAAAAAGGATAATGGCTATAATCTTAAAGATGAACAAAGTTATTAGTAAGAGAAACAACAAATACCTACAAAGGAACCTGCCTGTAGTCCTTTTTCTTTTCTTCTTTTTCAATTGTCTGGAATTTCTATAACCTTGCTCTGGATAGGGCAAGGTAAAGCCTTAAACTGTTTCATATGTTTTCCTCAGCACTGTAGGCCTGCCTGGGGTCACCCAACACCGAAGCACACTGGAGGCTTGCAGGGTTTTTTTCCCTTTTTCTTTTTCCTTTTTTTTGTCATTAAGTTCTGTTTTATTTTTCTTTTCAACTGTTTGACTTTTTAAAATTCCATTCTTTCCTTACTCAATGGTTTAATGATTTTTATTACTTTTCTTCCCAGAAACCTTATCAAAGCTTTGTGGTAATAATCTCATTCAGAATAGAGGGATGGATAGATGAATAGATGCATGAATAATAAAAGGAAAAATGTACCTCATTTACCACACTGAAAAAAAAAAGAATATCATTCATTCTTTTCTTGAAGGTCTTTGTTTCCCCCAAACTGCTTTATCAGAAGAGAAAAAATTTAGGTCTCTATTAAAGAAACCCCATAGCTGTTAACTCTCAATTTTTGCTCACAGTATTGTTCAGTGTTTGGAGTTTTTGTCTTTTGTTTTGTTTTTAGCTTGGGATTTTTTTGGTTTTTATTTTGGTTTGGTTTTGGTTTTTGGACCACACCCAGTGGTGCTCAGGACTTACTCTTGATTTGGTTCAGGCATCACTTTCCTGGCAAGCTCAGGGGACCTTGTAGGGTGCCAGAGATCAAACCCAGGTCAGCTGCTTGCAAAGCAACCACCTTACCTGCTGGACTATTGCTCTGGCCCCAGTATTGTTCAATGTTAAACTGAGTGAAAATTACTGAAGTTCCTACAGGGCTTTCTACCTTTCCAAAGTACTTTATAATTTATTTTACTTAGTTTGCATTTTATAAAGAAATAAACCTAAAAAATCATCTCATTGTTTTATGTAGTATAGAAAAATGAATGAAGCCATTATTTATAGTATTTTGTAATTACTCATTGTTAAGTCTGTTGTTCATAGATGTCATTTTTACATTGTTACTAATAGAGAGAAGAAAAAGCAAGAAGAACGTTCTTCAAAACCTCCAGAAAAATACATGTTTCAAAATGTTCATATTCAGCTGGATGAAGAAAAAATGGCAAAAGAAAGAAAGAAGAAATTGAAAGAGTTATTAATTCAGACATTCAAGGAAAATCACCAGGTGGGAGTTGTAATGTCTCTTTATTGTGCTTTCTGTAGCGTAATTAAAAAGACTTAGCCATCGAGATGGGACAAAATAATACTAAACCCATTGAGCCTCATTACAAACACCAAAATTGCCCACACCATTGTTCTCTGCTAGTCACCTGACCTTGTACAGAGATTACAGTTTCCCATTAAGAAGCTATTCTTGTATATTCTATGATCCTAGAAAATTGTGGTATGGATTTGGCATGTCACTCTAAATTACCCTTTTCAGAATGACATTTTAACTGCTAAAGTAGATTTGTGGCAGTTTTTGAAAGCTTGGCTTCCACTTTTACAGTCTTATGGACCGTGGCATTCTGGATTATTTAGAAAAATTATTCAAAAAGTCACTTGCTTTTTGAAAGTTCCAGTCCCAAATCCATGATAAACTTAGAAATATTCTATATTTATTTTATTTCTCTCTACCTCATTTTTGTTTTTTTATTAAGTAAAGCCTAGAACCTTAAGGCAGAAATACAAGTTTATTTCAGTGAAGTGGGTGATTAATAATAATATGAAATTGGAAGTTATAACATTTCAGGTAAAATGATTTATTTGAAAAATTGAGAGATGAGAAAAATAAATATGTATGTTTATCTCTTCTATAACACCCACCAAGGGCCCTGGGAGTTGCTGAAATTCAGTAAAAATTAATGGAGTGAATGCATAAATGAATGGATTTAACAAGAGATAAGAGAATGTCAGGAAGACACTGAGAAAGCTTAATAAATGTAGGATCAACTCACAAATGCTTTAGAAAGTAATAGCAGGAATTTGAACATGATAGAATAACTGAAATAAAGAAAAATATAAGATAGTTAAACTAATTTTTTGAAAGAAACAATTTATTGTTACATTTTAGATTATGGGTGAAGTTTGGTCAGTTTTAGCTTTAAGACTAGGAAGGGATGTGTGGTGGAAATGTTAAGATTTGGGGATTAACATGTCGTAAATGATTGGAAGAAATGAAAAGATGCTGAGTCCTTCTTGAAACAGATGGAGTTAGTAGTTTTCTTCCTGTAGCAATAGTCTAGAAATAGTAGACTTCTAGAAGAAAATATGAAGGGAAATTAATACTCAGAATCATTTTCAGGAGGTCTAAGGAGGAACCGGAGCTATAGTACAACAGTTACGGCATCTGCCTTGCATGCAACCGATCTGGGTTCAATTCCCAGCAAACCATATGGTGCCCTGAACCCAGCAAAAGTAATCCCTGACTGCAGAGCCAGGAAGAAATCCTGCATTCCACCAGCTGTCACACCCCGCCCCCCACCCCAAAGAAAAGATGGTATAATAAAAAAAAAATGCTATATTACCCAGCCAATGAGAGATGAATAAAATGCCTTCCCAATAAAATTAACTTTTTTTTTTGCATGGGGGCAGGAGGGCACTAGTTCTTGTCTTTTGTTTGGTTTGGGTTTGGGGCCTCACCCAGTGGTGCTTTTGGCTTTATTTTCAGGGATCACACCTGTTGGTGCTCACGGGACCATAATGTGGTGCCAGGAATCAAACCAGGAAAACTTCTTAACTTTTTTTCTTTTGTTTTTGGTTTTGGGTCACACCTGGTGGTACTCACAGGAGACTCCTTGCTCTGTACTCAGGAATTACTCCTGGTGGTGCTCAGGGGAACATACGTGATGCTAGGGATCGAACCCAGGTTGATCGTGTGTAAGGCAAAGTGCTCTACCCACTGTATTATCTCCCCAGCCCCAGGAATCTTCTATGCTATGTCTCTGGTCCCCAAAAGATTGATTTTTATAGGTTATTGAAGCCAACTGTACAAAAGGAAATAGTTGATTAGATAGAAATACTATCTGTGAATTTTAAACACATATAAGAAGTTTTACAAAACGAGTGCCCTGCCTAACATAGATCACTGAATTTTTTTAAAGTTGTTCATGATTTAATTACATTCAATATTCCAACCAATCCCACCACCATTATTTCCAATTTTCCCAAACATCCCCAAGCCTGCCCCTATAGCAGTCCCTGAATAATCTATTTTATATTGCTTGTTGTAATTTGCTAAAAAATGATCAAAAAGTATTTCCTTCGAAGAAGGTGTGTGGATATTGTTGTATTTCACCATGGAACCATTAAGCCCTTGTGGAAGAGATTGCTAAAATGTTGTGTAAATTAAGCCTTGTGCGATTATATTTTCCTAATCGAGGTTGATTGCCTTCTACTTTACATCCCATCCAATGTGGTGTGCTACTCATGGTTTATCAGTGGTATAGAGTTTGACGTGTCTTATGGCTGCATTTGAATTTGGGAGAAATACAGCTGGCGTTAAATTGTTAACTGATGGTGATTCTGGGTGCCCTGGATGACAGCCTGGCGCAGGATCCGGAAGCCTTTCTGCAACTTGTTGATCTCTTTCAAGATTTATTTATGAGTCTCTGGGTCATGGCTGGTTAATGAGCTTTATTTGGTGCCAGAGGCAGTTCATGGGTGTGACTGCCAGGCTTCTGGAAGAATGGGCAGGGGGGATGAGAGGTGATAGTCTATTCCCTGACTTTGTGAGAGCCTGGAGATTTTGTCACAAAACCTGCATACCTGAGTTTTTCAACAGATCAATGAGATTTCATCCTGACCAGTGGAGTCTGGCCATGAGCATGGCAGAGATTGTGGAATGTGGAGGTTTTTGGCTACGGGGGCTCTGTTTGGGTGGGTGGTAGGCTCATCTGCCCTGCTCTGGGTGCTTCATACAACTCAATCTGGTGCAGGGTCTAGAAGCTTCTTTGCAGATTACTCAGTTTTAAAAAGACCCACTGGTGTGTTTTTAAAAATGAGAGATTATGAATTAATTATCTCCATTTCACCACAGACTGTACTTAATTTGGATCTATACTATGTTTTGAAGTTTTATTTTGAAATCACTTGATCACTTGACATCTGTTACTCATCGATTTGCTCGAGCGGGCGCCAGTAACATCTCCATTTGTCCCTGTTGCATGCTAGTGTAGCACAATGGTGTCTGCTCATTCTAGGAGCACGAAGAGCCTCAAACTGATCATTCAGGGTCTTCACAAAGAAGTCTGACCATCTCATAGGTGGACGGCCACACAGTCTTTTGACGTCGCATGGAATCCAGTCTGTAATGGCTCTAGTCCAGCGGTCGTCTCCAAATCTCATTATGTGTCCAGCCCATCTGATTTTCGATGCCTTGGCAAAAGAGACAGTGTCCCTGATTCTTGACCGTTGATGGAGGTCAGAACTCCAAATTCTTTCTCTCATTTGAGTGAAATGTGATACTCCAAGCATAGCTCTTTCGATTCCTCTTTGGGTAGCGTTCTCATCCTGCTTTCGTAGGGCCCAGGTTTCGGCAGCTTATGGTAATGCAGAAAGAACAGTGGAATCGAAAAGATGTGCCCAGAGCCGGAGGTTCTTCGTCCTCTTAGCTGTTTCTTCGACACTCTTGAAGGTGTTCCAAGCCTCTCTCTTCCTCCTGCACAACTCGGGTGCCAGGTCATTCGTCATGTTGACTTCTCGACCTAGGTACACATAACTGTTGCATTCGGAGATGTTCGTTCCATTGAGAGTGAATGAAATGTCAGGAACGAGACTGTTTCTCATAAACATTGTCTTCGTGAGATTCAGCTGTAGTCCGACCTTTCCACACTCACAGTCGAAGTCGGCCAGCATTTGTGCTGCTTGGCTAATGTTTGGTCTTATTAGAACAATGTCATCAGCAAAGCGGAGGTGGTGTAGTTGCCAACCATCTATCTTCACTCCCATTCCTTCCCATTCCAGTTGTCGCATGACGTTCTCGAGGGTGGCACTGAAAAGTTTCAGTGAAATAGTATCACCCTGCCGAACCCCTCTCTTGACATGGATGATCACTTCTTTGTAGAATGGTGAGATCCTGGTAGTGAATCCGTAATACAGCTCACAGAGGATCCTGGTGCATTGAGTTTGAATGCCCTGATTGGCTAGGGCTTCAATGACCGCTTCAGTCTCAACAGAATCAAAGGCCTTCTTTAAATCAATGAACATTAGACAGAGCGGCATCTTGAACTCCTGAGAAACCTCAATGAGCTTCGTGTGGATATGGTCGATCGTGCTGAATCCTTTGTGGAACTTGCCTTGCTCTCATGGTTGTCCTTCATCTAGTGTTCTGCCAATCTGATTCAGGATGACTCGAGTGAACAGCTTGTAGATGACAGATAATAAGCAGATGGGACGATAGTTGCCAATGTCGTGGATATCTCCCTTCTTGAACAGTAGTACGGTCCTGCTGGTTTTCCATTGGGCCGGAACCTTGCATTCAGACAGGTAATGTGTGAAGAGCTGAGCCAGAGTATTGATAAGTACTGACGGTAGGTTCTTCAGGTGCTCAGGTCTGACCTTGTCTGGGCCAGGTGCTGTTCGCTTCTTTACCGATGAAATGGCATGTTGGATTTCGGAAGGGAGAACATTGGGAACGGCATATCCATCCTGCAGAATTTGGTATGTGGGCAGGTGGACGTGGCTATCGAAAAGATCTGAGTAGAAGTCATGGATAATCTTTTCCATTGCCCTTCTGGAAGATGTGATAGATCCATCATGACGTCGGAGGGCAGTCATCTTGGTCTTGTAGTTGGTGAAGGACAGGTGCCCTTGAAATAATTTTAGTTTTTCAGATATAATAAGTTACAAAATAGTACACAAAAACATTCCCCCTTCCTTGTTTGTAACTTATTTCTCTCCCTCAATCCCCCTCTCTCTCTCTATCTCTCTCATTCTCTGAGTGTATGAATGTGTTTAAGTGTGTATGTGTCTTTGTTCATCATAATAATTTCAGCCCTGATCCAGCACTGCATTATAGCTTTGCTTATTTATAACCTCTTAGTCTGATCATAAGAAATCTGAGGCTCTTTATCTAAAATGCATTTACTTATCTAATTCTAGCAAACTATAAAAGTAATTTCAGAATTGGCTAACTGTTACTGCTATGGAAGTAAATTTACTAACTAGGGTACAGCGTTTATATTG